GAGGCCTGAGGGTACATCTGGAGCTGGCCCCCATGGGCCACTGAGGTGATAGGCACTGCGGCTTGGCTCCTGGACTGAGGAAACAATAGAGAAGGAGGCCGATTCTACATGCTATCACCACGGTGTTCTCTAGCGCCCCCTACTGTCCAAGACCTCCATTGCTCCAGCTGACCAACTCTTGCACGGTCCAGCTCCATTTTCGAAAAGCAGGGGAAAGAATGGTGCATTTGGAGCTCAGAGATAACAAACTGGTAAGTGGCAGAGAGAGAGGCAGACACGGAAGGAGCAAAGAGTCTATACAGGAAGAAGCCAGAGGGGCAAGAGTTCCTATGCCTTTTGGAGAGGGTGAGGCATAAAGGAGTGGGAGCCTCGAGGAGCAATATGCCCCGCTCCTTTGAAAAAGAAAATTCAGGCACATACCAAACACAGCTCAAGAAAGCCACATTGTTCCACTTTCAAATGAACAGAAAATAAAATTCCTGGACAGATTCCCTCTTCCCACCCCTGGGAATAAGTGGGAAGTGAGTTGAGACACATTTCATCTTTCTTCAAAAGGCTTTCTCAGTTCCTTGGTTCCTGCTGAGTCAGGCCACCCCCCACCATCTGCAGATTCACAGCATTCCATCACTCATTCAGCAGCACTCTCTGCAGCCTCCAAGGTGCCAAGCACTGAGCCCGGGAGCCCATCTGAGTGTGAGCCTCAGCTTAGCCTGTTTATAGCATCTGTGGCTGAGACCGGCTTCAGCAAGCGTCAAGAGAGCAGACTGACTCAAGGACAAGAGAAATTTCCAGGACCTGTTTACTGTGGCTCTGGTTTAGATCTGCCAGTATTTCTCTGATGATTATAAGAGCAACGGCTCTGGAGTCCCATGACACGGGTTCTAATCCCATCTTGGTTCTTTTCTAGCTATGTGACTTTAAGCAATTTGCCTCACATCTCTCAACTTGTTCCATCATCTCAAGTGTTTTGGTCAGAGCTACCTCTCAGGATTTCTAGGCAGACTAGGAACAATGTCTGCAGTAGGCCAAAGGAAGGAACAGTACAGGCCTGCTGGACCAAAGCCCACAGCACAAAGCTCCAGGATCTTAAAGTCCAAGAGTCCATCAGGCTTATAAGGCAGATGCTTTGACCAGTAGCCTGGGCACCTCTGAGCAACACCAGCCCCATTATCTCTGGGGATGCTGAGCCCACTGCTGCCCTCCTTGGAATGGGCTCAAGAAGGTGCCTACTTCCACTTCTTCACTGGACGAATTAGAAACTGAACTCCAGAGAGGGTAGATATTTGCTCAAGGCCACAAAGCATGGAGGTGGCCCAGTGTCACTGGAACCTGGCCCCATGGCACAAGCCCTCTCAAATTGACTGTGACGTGCTCAAGTGCCTGGGCGCTGCACCCCAAAAGACCTGAGCTGGAGTGCCGCTCTGCATTCATTTTATCATTCCCTCAACAAACACCGAGTGGCTGGCATGTGCCGGCCCTGTGCCCAGTGCAGGGGACACAGGGGGATGAAACCTACTCGGCCCCAGCTCACTCACTGCTCAGTCTGATGGGGGAGGCAGCAACCAGCCAACCAGCGACTGAACAAACCTACACCTCCGTGGGAAGCAGCGAGGAACAGACACAGGGAGGACTCCGAGTGACGGGGACGGTGGGGGCAGGAGGGCTACCCAGGGCACTCAGGGTGGAGATCTCGAGGAGGGGACATCAGAGCCGGGCCCTGGACACCAGGAGGGAGCCAGCCACGTGGAAAGGGTGACCAGCAGAACTGAGTGTGATAAGAAGAGATGAGGCCGTGTGAGCAAAGGGGCACTGGAGGGACGGGGTCAGAGGGCAGAGGCCGGGTCAGACCCAGGAGGTCACAGAGCAGGAGCCCCTGGAGGGTCCAAGCAGGGAGTGGATGGGCTCTGGCCTGTTGTTTCCATAGGGTAGCTCTGGCCACTGCCGTTCCTGTGAACTCAGCGGTTGTCTGGCCTTGGGCAGGTGCTTCTGCACTCTGAGTCTCAGTCTCCTCATCTGTGAAAGGGGCTCCCACTGTCACTGGAGGCCCACAGGTGAAAACCCACACAGGGCACTTAGCCACGTGCCCCCAGCCTCGTTAAGTGCTGGATGAAGCGCTGCTCCTTCGCATCTGACATCCAAGGCCGCCTCCGCCACCGCTGGACACAGCCTGGCAGAAAACATCTGAGCAGCAAACACTATGACTTCTGCACTGCCCTCAGCCATGGGGCGTTGAGGCCAAAGCGCATTAAGCTCCTGCCCATCAGCGGGCAGCAGGGGAAGTCAGTGCAGCCCAGTGACAGAGAGCGGCCAGGTCCCCTCTCAGTGAGGGCTTGCAGGTGGCCTTAGCATCCATCAGAGTCACGGCTCCATTGCCTGGGTGCCTGGGATGGACAGCATGTCCCGATCAGGGGGCGCAGAGAGGTGGTGAGCAGTAACGACTGTCCTGGCCACTCCTGCAGTCAGATTTATTACGGCACAGAGAAGTGGTTTTGCTCCTGGCCGTAACAGGCAGCCAGCCCATCTGTGCTTGTAGTGATCCGGTGTGCCAGGCCTGGGCGGGGACGGTGGAGGCTTCCACCCACACCTGCTGGCCGGAGCTCTGGGCAGAGCCCTGTGGACTGTCCATCTCCTTTGCTCTGGGCCACCTTGTCCAAGAGGCCACCACCAGACACCTTCCGCAGCATCTGCAAACCCACACCCCGGCCCCAAGGTACAAGTGTGGACTTGCATCGAGGGAGACCCAGGCTTCTGGCACCACCCAGGCAGCACAGAGCAGCTAAAGGCCCAGGCTTCGGAGTCAGCCTGAACGAGGGTTCAAGTCCTGATTGCCATGTAACAGCCAAGAGACCTGCGGGGAGGAGACTCACTCCCTGAACCTGTTTCCTCATCTCTAAAGGGAATAGTAGACACCTCTACTTTAAAGAGTTGTGTGTATTAAGAGATAAAGGGTACAAAGCGTCAAACACAGGAGTAGAGACTAAACAAAAGGTAATAATCACCATTTTTACCCAGGGACTGCAATACTAATGCGCCTCGAGTTACTGTGTCCCAATAAACCCATGACAAGCTGGAAATATCCTAAGTCAGAAATGCATTTAATCCACCTAATCTACTCAACACCAGAGTTTTGCAGAGTGCAGGTTGTTTCCCCTCCTGATCACATGGCTGATTAGGGGCTGTGAGAGTGCTGTACCGCATATCACCAACCTGGGAAATGATCAAAATTCAAATTTTGAAATATACTTTCCACTGAATGTTTATCACTTTTGCATCATCATACAGTCAAAAAATCACAAATCAAAACAGCATAAATCAGGGACCATCTGCACTATGATATAAGATGTCCTTTACTGAAGCCAATTCTGCCACCAGGGAGTATGCTAGCTCTTTTTAAATATTTTATCTCTAATCTCAAAACCAATCTTGCAAGTAGGTATCATGTTTATTGTGGGAAGTTGACGGACTGTGCAAGGTCACACTGGTAGGGAGTAGAGCTGGGCGGCTTCTTGATTCTCTGGATATACAGCCCACCCCATACCTCCCCTAGAAGCCTGTGTAAAATCAGACAGGCAGACAGGCAGGCCAGCACTTCCTCCAAATGCCAACATTTCTCAAGCACCAGCTCCAAGACAAACCCTTCACAAAGTAATGGAGAGAGCAACATTAACATAGAAATACTTCAGCCCCTGAGGAGCTCAACCCTTATAGGGAAAGAGCAAAGCTGCATCCACACTGCCCAGAACAGGTATGTATCAGTTGGCTTTGGGTACATAACAAATGATCCCAAAACTTTTTGGCTTAATAAAGAACCATTTATTATCACTCCCAATTCTAGAAGTTGGTTGGGCAGTTTCTTCTAAACCTAGTCATGCAGTTGTACTCACCTGACAGGTCAGCTGTGCTGGCAGGTCCAAGACGGCCTCATGCATGGGTCAGGCAGCTGGTACTGACTGCCTGTGGGATGTGCTGGTCCTCCTCCAGGTACCCTCAAATCATCCAGGAGATTAGACAGGCTTCCTTACATGAAGGGTGAAGTTCATAGAGGACAAAAGCAAACACCATAATGCCTCTTGAAATTGGATCCAGAATTTACACGCTGTCACTTCAACCACTTTCTACTGGCCACAGCAAGTCACATTCTGTTGCTTGGCCAGGATCTGTGTCATACCTCTGGGGCCTACCGGCTAAAGCAGCAGTCAGTTCAGAATGAGGGTGAGAGGGGCAGCCTGTGGCCTAGCCAAGTGAGATGATAACCACCCAATAAATCCCTAGCTCAGGTGAAAGGCTGAATCGTGAGATCAGTAGAAGGGGTCGTGTCCTTTAACCTACAGAAAGTCAGTGTGAACAGGATCAGTATATTTAAGACAGGTTCCATGTGAAGAAACAGGTCCAGAAAGAGGCAATGTCTTGCCCAAGGTCACAGAACAAGTTTGTGACGGAGCCAGGAGAGACTTGCGCCCCTGCCAGCCAGCCCTCGGCTCCTTCCAATCCACCTTACAAGGGACCTTGGGCTGGGAATGGGCTGGGCCGGGCCATTTGGGTAATTGTGCCCAGCAGGGATGTCCTACCTCTGCCTGAGTTGTAAAGTGAGCATTCTCAGCCCGCCAGCACCCCAGGAGGCCCTTAATCACTATCTCATCTGCTTCCCCCAGCACTGTCCCCATTTTAAACATGAGAAACCGAGGCCCAGAGAGGTCAGCTGACTCCCCCAGGGTCCCGCAGCTGGTGGAACCTGTCTCTGGGGTCTCCCATGCAGCCACAGAAGGAGCTGAACCCTGACGCAGTTCCCAAGGCAGCTGTATGGCAACAGTATGGCCTCGGGGGTCTCAAGATAAAACCTTCAAAGGCCTAGGCATAGGCAGCAAGGGCCAAGAACCCGCGAATCATTTCTGCAAGTAGGTGAGTAATGCCTTGGTCCACACCTGTACCATTTCACAGATAAAAAAACCAAGGCCAGACACCCACACGTACACCACCGGAAGGCTCAGACACACAAAGGGTCACTTGGTGGCATTCAGAGAGCACATTTATTTACAAAGCGCTTTACAAACATTACTTTTTGCCTCCCCACAGCCCCCTGTGAGGTAGGTCAGTAGTCATATCTACAGTTTACAGGTGGGGAAATTGAGGCACGAAATGGGGGTGTGGCCTGCCCCACTTTAAAGAGACCTTCCCACCCACCCATCAAAATAACAAAATAAACAAAAAAAGCACTGATCCTCCATCCCAGAATTGAACTCTAGGGGTTGGGGCCAGCCCTGCTCTAGCACTGCCCCTCCCCTGTGGGCAGCCTGACCAGGAGCCATAGGGACCCCAAACCCAGGGATTCTGGTTCTGCCTCACAGATTGTCACTGGCCTGAGCTGAGCAGAGCCAAGCCACAGAAGACTCGAACGCTATGGGAACAGAGGACTGAGGTGACTTCATTCTGCAGACACTGGGTCAGGCAGGGAAGGAGCCCCACACGGGGCATGGTAGGCATGGGCAGATCCTGGTTCCAGGGAGATCAGAGCACATAGCAGAGAAGCAGAAGTGGGGAGGGTTGGTGAGCAAAACACCCCAGGGACTGCAATAGGCAGTGGGGTGGAGGAGGGCGCCACAGTTCCCTTCAAGAGGATGGTCAATGTGTCCCACGCTAAATCAGGGCAGAGCCCCGCCTGCCCAGAACCCTCAGGGGCCAGATGCCAAGCCTCAGTGCATCCTCCACTCAGGTGCAGGAGGGGCTGTGCTGGGCAGAAACCTTGACCCTGGGACACTCTCTCCGCAGGGGCTCACTCATCTCTGCCAACAGCTGGGACAGAGTCGGGGGCTTGGCCCGAGTCCCCCAGAGCTGCTCTGAGCGGCGGTCACTGTGCCTACAGGACCTGCTGGAGGTGGGGCTGGGCTGCAGTCTTGCTCCTCCTTGGCCCACAGCTTGCCCATGGATGTACTGAAAGGCGCTGCCCACAGTGGAAGGAGCCACGGAGAAGGCCCGGCATCCACTCCAGAGTTTTCCCCATGAGGCTATGGCTGAGCAGGGTTGGAGGCACAGGCCCTCTCCAGCTGGGTGTGGTGGGCCTGGCCCTGAGTGCACAGTGGGTGCCCCAGGCCAGGGCCCCCGCTATCTTGACTCCAACCCTTCCAGGTACTCCAGGGCCACATCGTAGCAAAAGTGGTACTGATCCTGGGGAGAGGGAGACAAGGGGGCGCTCATGAGCCTGGCCTGGCCTGGCACTGGGGAGAGGGCAAGCATGCACCCTGGCCTCTCTGGGGACGAAGGGGCAATGGGGATAATGTTCTGACGCTACAGGACTAGAACCAAGGCCCACAGGGGGAGACTAGAGAAGGGAAGTGGGGCTGTGAAGCCTGGTCTGGCGTAGACCAGGAAGGACCTCACCATGGTCTCCACCATATTGGGCTTGTAGTTCCGAAGGGTTTTGGCAGCGAAGAAAACATCCACCAGGCTGTGGCAGCGGATCATCTCCAGGACCGTGGCGCAGGCGCAGAAGGTGCCGCTGCGGCCACCCCCGTTTCTAAAGGACACAAAGGGTTTTGATAAGAGGATTGGAGGTGGGACCCGGGAAAGCAAAGGTGAAGAGGGACGGGCCAGGTAACCAAAAGGCGGGAGTCAGAGAGCTCAGGGCTCAAAGGTGGGTTAGGAAGCTCAAAGGGGAGGGGCCAAAGGGCCAGGGGGAAAGAGTGGGGCTCCGGAACCAAGCCGCGAGGAGCCAAAGGTTCAGGGGCGAGGGGCGGGGCCGGGGGAGGGGAAAAAGCACCGGGTATGAGGGGTGGGGCCAGGGAACAGAGAAGGGAGAGGCAGGGCCCGAAGAACCACCGCAGGACCTGATTAGAGGCAGGTCCGCGGGACAGACTAGCAAACAAAACAAATAAACAAAAGATTAAAGCCTTATGCAGTGCCAGAAGGCATGTCCTCAAGGAGGAAGGTACTGCAGATTCTGCGAGAAAGGAGGCCAGGCCCTCCAAGAGAAAGAGCGAGGGCGGCGACAGAGAAGGGCAGCACAGCGGTGGGCAAACGCCCGGGGAACGAGACCGAAAATGAATCCTGGCAAGACCAATCACCGCAGCTGGGCGCAACGCCCACACGAGGGGCACAAACACACACACTGGGCACAGGGCAGCCTCCCACTGGAGATCGCCCCTCCCTCCCTGCATCGCCCTCTGCTCCTGTGACTGCGCGTGTGGGGCCCCCCTTGGGGGATGGGAAACCAAATAGGCCCTCAGTCCTTCTCCAGGGCGCCCTCCCTCTAGAACTGAAAGCCCTGAGAGCCAGCCCGAACTGGGACTCTGCTCCGTGGGGGCGCCCAGCCTGGCACCCGAAGCCTGAAAAGTGGAGAACAAGGGAATGACTGCACCCAGACACAGCGCTTATGAATGGAACATGGATATTAATTAATTAAAACAGGGCATGCGTGCATAAACAAAGACTAGAATTCCACTGGCATAAAAATAGTGCTACAATCTCCTGGGGTGAAAAACTCTGACAAAAGACTCTTTAATTAAACTGGTGAAGTCAAACATCACACAGAGGAGACTGGGCAGTTGTCCAGGGTTGATTTTATATCCCGGAAGCTGAGTGGTTTAGGTCGGCTGGAGAGGGTCTAGGCCATCACTGTCCAGAAGCCCCAGAGTTTTGAGGCCAGTCCTGAGGCCATCTCTAGACTGGACCTCTGTCCTGGCTCCCCAAGCCCTCCATCTGCCTTCCGATGGGACAAGCACTCACAGGCAGTGCACAACGGTGCGCCCGTCCCCGCTCTCCGCCTGCCACTTGTCCACCTCGGCCAGCAGGTGCAGGAAAGCCTTCTTGGAGTCAGGCGTGTCCCGGTAGGCAGACCAGCGCAGGAATTGGAAGTGCCGCACCAGCAGGTGGCCCTCCTGCAGCTAGGGGCATGGGCAGGCAGCCAGGGGGCATGAGCATCAGGGGCACAGCACTAAGCAGTGCTCCAGTCGCCACCCAGGTTCTCCCCCTCGGGCTCCTCGGACCACTCACCCGAGAGATGTTCTGCACCCTGAAGACTCGGGCCACCAAGTCTTCATCCACAGTGCCAGACACAAACTCCACCTCCATGAGGCCATACTGCTGCCGGCCCGGCTCTGGCCAGTACTGCAGGCAGGGCTGGGGCATGGGCACGGAGAGAGGAGGCTGGGTAGGGCCAGGCTGGGCACCCCCATTCCCAGCACCAGGGCTCCACACCTGCCCTGCAGCTGCCATACTCAGGCCCACACTCCACCACTCACCCTCGGATTGCAGGGCACACCTGCCTCAGTGCATGCTGCACTGACACGCTCAGATCAGGTGCACAAACCCTTCACAATCAGTGCCCTGAGCCACTGCTGTGTGGCTAGAAACCTATACTTTAGCATGCTCGTGCACACACGCGCACACACACACACACACACACCCCACACCTCTGCATAAGGCTGCCTTCTCCCAGGGACAGGCCTAGATCACACCCATCCCAGAATCAGCTTCCTGGCCTCTCTCCAACTGCTTCTGCCTTTAGCACTGCTCACAAAACTGGGGTACCCTAAGCCACAACCCAGCTCAGGACTCCACTGCTGTCCAGGACACTCCGTGGAGTCAGGGAACTACATACCTACTCCTGCTAGACCACAGACCGGAGACAGGCGAGGGGCAGAGGAGGGGCAGCCCCCCACCCGCCAACACACACACAGTATACTCAGGTCCTATGGGCTAGCCAACCCAGACCCCCGCTTCTGGGGTCCTCTTCCTGGACCTGGCAATGCTCCTCTCTCGGGCCCCAATTTCCCCCCATCTGTAAAGTTAGGGTAAGCTGTCTCATCTCCTTGAGTCTCTGTTTGCTTCTCTGCGGACTATCACAGGACCGGTCTCATAGGGTTATTGTGATGCATAAGGCTGACCGGCCTGTGCTATGCCTGGCACACAGTAGGTGCTCAGTACGTGGCAGGGATGAAGAGGATGAGGATGACAGTCACTTCTGAGGATGGCCCCCCGACCCAACCTATATGGTACCGTGTTCTACCTGCTTCCCTCTTTGACCATGGTCCTACAAAGGAAAGACATTACCTTCCTCTTTTGCCTGGGATCCTAGGAACTCCTTTGTACACGTACCCCATCATCCATCAGTCACTCTTCCCGCCTCTATACCTTCTGAACTCTGCCCTTCCCATACATCTCAGCTTGGACACTGCCTCATCCAGGAAGCCCTCCTGGATCCATTATCTCCCAGGTTTCTCTGTCTCTGTGTCTTTCCCTCTGTGCTACAGCTATCATTCTCCATCTGCTTCCCCCTGGACCATGAGATCTGGGAGGGGCTGGATCTTCTCCTTCTGTCCCCATTGCCCCCAACAGCGCCTGGCAGGGAGCAGTCCTTGGGAAAAGCTAGCTGACTGCGCGAGCAATTCTATGAGCTGTGAGTGGTATCTGTGTGCTCTCCCTCTGGGTCTCCGCCCCACCTCAGCAAGGCTGGCTTCTGCCACAGCCGGGACTCATTCCAGATCCCAAGAGGGCCTGGAGCCCCTCCTCTGCAGTCCTGGCTCATGTCACCAGGGCTGGACTCATAAAGAGCCCAGTCTTCAAGGTCTCCTCCAGGCAGCCCATAGGAAGCTGTTGCACTCATTTTACAGAACAGCCTCCTGACCCCATGGAGCAGACAGCAGGGCTGCGAGGGGTCCCAAGACCTAGAGCATGTGATCAGGCAGGCTGAGCATCTGCCTTCCCAGGAGCCCCAGCTGGGATGGGAGAATCAGAGGGGCCATCCCCATGGTGAGGTCACTGAACCGGTGTCTGGGCCAACTTCAGAAGCTAAATGTGCTGCCGGGAGGAAGGACTTGGTCAGAAGAGGTGGGTCACCGGGATGGTGACCTGGGAGGGTGTATTCTTGTTCTCAGCTCCGCCTTCAGTCTGCTGCCTGGCTGCCATGGGGTGAGCAGCTCTCCTCCACCATGTGTTTCTGCCATGCTATTTGTCTGCTTAGGACCCAACCAACCATGGACTGAATCCTCTGAAAACCATGAGCCAAAATAACCCTCTCCTCCCTTAAGTTGTAGGTAGTAGGTGTTGCCCCAGCCACTGGAAAGCTAAGCAACAGACCTAGGAGGTGTCCAGTGCCTACTAAGTGCCAGACACAGGACAGTGCCCCATAAGAACAGGTCCTATGATGGGCCCCAGTCTACAGAGAAGGGAACTGAGGCTCAAAGAACTTACCCTGGATCCAACAGCTAGAAAACAGGTTTGAATTTACTCTATCTCAAAGGCCCTCATGATGGATGGGCAGTTTAGATGAGCTATGGGACCTGAGAGAAGGCACTTCACCTCTTTGGGTCTTAACATTCCTAACTTTCCTATCTGAAGCCTCTACCTCAAGTCACTATATGTAGATTGTATGTAAGACCATAAGTGCAAAGCCGAGTCCTTGGCTTACTGCAGCTGATTTGCCCCTGTCTGACACCCCTGTTTTATAGATGAGGAAATCTGGGCCCTGGGAGGGAGTGTGACTGCTCTGCAGCCATTCAACAGACAGGTGGCAGAGCTGAGCACCAACTTTTGACTTCGGAGTCTGTGCCCTTGAAGACAGGGAGGCACTGGCCCACAGGGCCCTCACCCAGGCGGAGTTGGACTGGTTCAGCTGGTTGAGCATGACGATGGAGGTGCACCCGTAGTCATAGACCAGCCGCCAGAAGTCAGGCGTGGTGCTCTGCAGCGGATGTAGGGTCACGATGAAGGCCGCGCTCCGTGTGTAGCTCTGCAGGGAAACAGCATTCAGCAGAGCCCGGTGGACAGCCCCGGTGTGGGCTGATGGCCCACCACAGGCCGTCCTCCCACTCAGCCCACCATGAGCTGCACAGCTGGGCCTGCAGGACCAGGTAGGACCAGGCAGCCCGCAGGCCCGTTTCACAGGCTGGTCAGCACACGGAGCCCTGCGTGAGAGGATGGGCTGCCAGCCTGTAGTGCCCAAGCGCATGGCCCTCCACAAACTAAACCGCAAAAGATCCTCAAATGTGGGGCCAGGCTTGCTCCCTGCCCTTGTGCCTTTGCATCTGACATCTCTACTACCTAACCTCAATTTTCTAAATGTCTGTATACTTACTCTGCTTCCTTCTGGTCTTTGCTTAACTGTCTGTCTTCTTCTCAAAGAGGCCCTCCCTTACCACTTCATCAAAAACAACCAGGCGCTGACAAGCCTTCTGCCCGGTTGTTTCTGTAGAAACTTCCATGCATGACATTCCATTGCAAATTTATTTACTAACTGCCTCACCCTACCTCCCAAATGCTCAGACCCCCCAGACGCAAGGCTCAGAAGAGCAGAGATTTCAGGACATGGCCTCCGCCTGGCACACTGTAGAGGTTCAATAAATATTTTTGAATAAATAAATCTCTAGTGGGCTGGGGATATAGCTCAGCGGCACAGCACCCGCCTGGCAAGTGCAAGGTCCTGAATTCAATTCCAGGTACCATAAATAAATAAATAAATAAATAAATAAATAAATAAATCTCTAGGCCATTTCCAACTCCACAAGTAGAAGGTTCTGAGACCCCACCCTCCACTCCTCAGGTGGTGACAGGCATCAACTCTGTTCACCTCCCCCTGCCAGGTGAGCTGGTACCCAGCCTTCCCACCAGAGCTCCAGCCCCAAGTTTTCCCTGGTGTCCTGCCTTGTTCCAATCCTGCCATTTCCCCCTCACTCTCCTGAGCTCTTCTCCTACAACCCTATTCCCTGGCCCCAGTCCCAACCCCAAAGGCTGGTGCAGGCTCCTGGGATCCTGGCCCTTGTCCGGCTCCCTCTGGCTTTGATCCTGAGTTGAACCCTGAGCGCCCATCTCTCACCTCCACGGCAGGGCAGGTGCAGTGGTGCTGCACATGGCCACGCCACCCTCGTTCACCAGTCCCCTGGGGATTTGCTCGGCTCAGCCCCTTCCTCTCACTGCCCCATCCCTGCCACACTGGCAGCCTGTTCCTAATGCAAGGGGTGAACCATGGGGGTACGGCTGCATGCGGGAGGACAAGCTGGCCTGACTGAGGGGCACAGGCACAGCAAGCCCCCTTGGTCACACATCCAAAACCACCTTCTCCAGCGTCATCTTCCAGATGCTCCCTCAGAAGGCCAGCACCTCAGGCCTCCACCTGAGCTCAGCAAACACCACCACCCCTCTCCTGGTCTGCTAGCAACACACAGTAAGGTTGAGGCCCTTGGGCTAGAACACGGAAAGTGACTTCTACATGGCTCCTGAGCCTTCAGAACACAGCCCGGTAGGCCCAGGGAGCAAGTCATGATTCTAGGCCAGGTCTTAGAGCAAGCTGTGCTCAAACTCCCTAGGACAAGCTCCCCTGGCTCCAATATCAGGTCTCAAGTCCCAACCAAAACCTCAAGGCCTCCCCGCAGGCATCACCCATCCTGCTCAGCCAAGGGTACTGGGCCTGATCCTGGAAAGAGCCCTGCCTGAGCGCCACAGCCCACATTCCTGCTCAGGCTGAGAGTACTCAGGGGAGTACTGGCTTGAATAATGCCCTGAGTAGAAGATCAACTGGGATAGGAGGGTCACCCCACAAGCCTGGTCCCCAAAGTGGGGAGAGTGTCCACATGCACACACACACACCAGAGCCCTGAGCTCTGCCCCCTTGACGCCTGGACCTTTCCAGAGGCTGCTGGAAGGGGGAGCTCCACAGCCCACTGCACCCCCGAGCTCTCACGTCAGTCAGGGCCGCATTGATGTAGTTGTTGGGGTCACCGTCCGTAGAGACGAGGAAAGGCAGGCAGCGGTCGGGTGGCAGGACGTCCATGCTGCGGTTCTTGTCGCGGTTCCGAGGCAGCAGGGCGATGCTGCACTCCTCCATGTCCAGCGGCGGGGTGACGGAGTTCAGGGTCTGCCAGGCAGAGGGCAGGATGGAGAGGCGTATCCAGTGCCTGCTAAGCCTCCTCACAGCCCCGGGAAAGACCCCGGCTGGGATACCAACTCGAGAGAGAAGGGAGAGAAGACAGACCCAGGCTGCCCATTCACAGGCCTCACAAGGCCCAGACAGAGCTCTGGAGACAACAGTCTGCCTCTCTGCCACCAGAGTTACCTTAAGACAAACTACTGTCCTTCCCAGCCTCAGTTTCCCTCAACTGTAAAATGGGAAGATAATCTGCCTGTTTTGTGGGGCTGGTGGGGAGGATAAAGTGAGATAATGCTAGTCATTGAGCAGAGTCTGGCACACAGAGGCTTAATAGGTAGGAAACACATAATTTGGCCATAGCGCCACACACCTATAAACCTAGCACTCTGGCAGGCTGAGACAGGAGGGTCACAAGTTCAAGTGCAGCCTGGACAACTTACAAAGTCCCTGTCTAGAAATTTAAAAAAAAAAAAAATTAAAAGGAATTGGGACATAGCTCAGTGCAAAGACTCTTATGTTCAATCCCTGATACCAAGAAAATTAAATAATTTTTAAAAGGTAGGAGGCATAGGAAAGACCATTACTACCTTATCAGTGCTGTCAATGAGACAGTCCCCAAACCCCACCTCTGCCATAAAGTGGACTGCAGGTACCAGCAGAGGGGTCACCGTCCATCTGAACACGACGCTGGTCCCGAGCACCTGGCACTAAACCAAGCCAGAGCTCTGGGCTTCTTCTTTGCTCCTCTGCCATGAGCCCTCGTGCATCTAGATCTGTGGGTCTCAGCCTCTCCCCCTCATTGTTAGGGATCCCTCACAGGGAATTCAAGTCTGTCACAGTCCCCAAAGCCGACACCCTTCTCCCGGCATCGCTGGCTGCATTTCCCATGAGATCACCCAACACCGGTTTGAGCTCCAGGACCTATCTGTGCCACCTGCTGAGCCCATGAAGGGACTCTGGAGTGGACAGGACAGCTTGGGTGTCTCGCCATATAAATGGGGAGGCGACCAAAACCTGGACCCATCAGCGAGTTCCAAATCTCCAGCCCCAGTGACTGGGCCAGGGATGGGCACATGAGACTGGTCTAGGGGCTGCTGAGGCTTGTAAGGATCTTTTTCCACAACTTCCTAACAAGAAAGATGACATAAGCCTGGCACTGCTAGGAACTACGGGTCTGAGAACAAAGCCAAGAACAGGACCAAAAGTGCACAGAGACCAAGTACTGGTATCACCATCCGAGCCCTGGCCCCATCTACAACTGAAGCCAAGCCATGCCTTAGACTCTGCAGTTTCAGAGCTACTGAGCTGGCTCTTTATCATGTATAGCTCAAAAATCCCGGAAAATTCAAACACTGCAAGGGCGATACTAACTACCTTTCTTTTCTTGATAATAAAACTGAGGCTTGGAGAGATAAAGTGACTTGCTCAGGCTACTCACAGCTCCTAACTAGATAAGGCAGAATCTGATTCCAGCTTTACCTGATGCCAAAGCCTAGGATCTTCACCACTTTGAACACCACCTCTTCCACTGTCCAAATTTGTGCCCCCAGCTGTGTCTCACTCTGATCCTTCCTGCTTGGCCCCCAATGGCTACAGTACTAAAGAGTCCCAGCATACAAGTGCGTGCGTGTGCACACACACACACACACACACACGCACACATGCACACACGCACACACGCACACATGCACACACGCACACATACGCATGCTCATCCCCTCCCACCTGGAACTCTTCCCGCAGCTGGGAAGAATTACTCTGAGGGTCAATGCGGATCATCTCCCTGTAGGTGGCCTTGAACTCATTGACAGGGATGGTGGTCTCCCCACACAGACAGGCCTCCAGGATTGCGTCGTGGATGAAGATGTACTGCTCCTGAAGCAGGAGAGGAGGATATGAGAAGGAGGCGGGGACTGGGAGCCAGTGATCTGTAGGAGAGAAGCTCATGAGCAACCTCAAGGTTGAGCCAGGGGCACTCCTGGGTGGCGTCTGACACTCTTGGGAGCAACCTCCACAGACGTGTTAGCGCATCTCACACTGCATCTCTAGAATACCCCCAGGTGTTCTGCAAGGTGCCAAGATGGCCCGAGATCACAGATCTAGTGAGGATACAAACCCAGGCATGTCTTGACTACAGAATGCACTGTTCTTTGACCTCACCCAGCACACCATCATGGGGCTGGGTTTGGGACAATCCCAGGAGACTGGCAGCCCAAGGTCACAGATAATCCCAGGGAAGGAAAGAGCTAAGGAAACCCTTCAGACATACAGCACCACTCTGAGCTCCTCACAAAAGACTAGAATCCTAGAGGGAATAGGGGGACAGGATGGGGCCCCTGCACCTCGGTCTGGATCATGTTGACACGCCGGGAACAGAGGGTCTTCACGCAGTTGTAAATGTCCACTACGCCCTCACACTCCGCCATGTCGAGCATCACATCCAGGACGATATAGCAGCCTGTGCGGCCAGTGCCTGCGCTGGGGACGGAGAGGCCCAGCCCACATTAGACCCTTTGGAAGGGAGCCTAGTACCCAGGAGAAGAGAGGAGAGGGACCAGGGGCCTGTCCGTATCTACACTACACAGGGAGCAGGGACAGAGAAAGGTGACCCAGCAGGAAGGAGCCAGTGAATAGGCTTCTGGGAGAGTTCTGGTGCAGTGTGACAAAGGACAGACCTGGAGGTGGTCCTCAAGGAAGAACAGGAGGGCATGGGGGAGGGAGAATGCAGGGGGGAAGCTGCGCCAACTGAGCAACTGAGTCTGGAAGGCAGGGACAGAGATGATGCTCAGAGCTCAATCCAAGCATGTTCTTTCCTCCGGCACGGCCTTCGGAAGCTACACACTCACACCAGTTTATATACTCAGTGGAGCCTCCAAGGCCTCCAGGCAGGTGTCATTCTTTTGAGCTTCCAGAACAACTTGGCAGGTTCTTATTAAAACATTCTTCCTGCTATGTGGTCCTGGTCGAGGTGGCTGTCGCCCTGACCAGACTCAGAGCTCATCAAGAGCTGGGCTGTGTTAGAGCCACAACCGTGATACACATGTCAGCACCGGGTTGAGCAGAGTTCAGCAGGAGGAGGAGTGGTCAAAGATGACACCAAGATTCCAGGCTTGAAAGTGGTGGCACTGAAAGGCTGGTAGGGAAATACAGCAAGAGAATGTCCCAGACACTGCTGATGGAGGCTCTGGAAAACTGACAGAAGCTACTGAGGCTGAATGGTCACAGACAACAGTTCTACTCCCACGTTCATACCCACAGGAATGTGTGCATTTTTGGACCAAAAGACATGCACTGCTGTTTTATTTTAGCACCACTATTCCTAACAGCTCAAAACTGGAAACATCCCAAATGCCTTTCAACAGTAGAATGGACAAACATATTGTAGTTTATTCACCTAGTGGGAGATGATACAATATGGATGAACCTTACAAACATAAGGTTGAGGGAAAGAAGTCAGGCAGCAAAGAGCACATGCTGTGAAATTCTATTTATACAAAGTTCAAAACCAGGCAAGACTGACTGGGTGTGGTGGCACATGCCTGTAATCTCAGCACTCAAGAGGCTGAGACAGGAAGATCACCATGAGCTCGAGACCAGCCTGGGCTATATAGTGAGTTCAAATCCATCATGAACTACATAGCAAGACTGTAGTTTAGAAGTCAAGATTATGATTGTTCTGGGAAGGGGGACATTCTGGAACTGAGTTAAGGGGGCCTCTGGGTTCTGTTGATGTCCTTCTTGATCTGAGCAGAGCTACAGGTATGTACATTTATGAAAATTCATAGTTATAAGCACACTTACTTTTTGTGACTTAAGTATATTTTAAGTATATTATGTATCAATGAAGCTTTTATTTTCAGAAGAAGAGATCTCCAAGTGACCAGAAGAAAGCAAAGAACAGATAGTTTGGAGGTGGCAGGGTAGAGAGAAGACTGGGTCTGCTGTGTGGGGAGACTGGGGAGCTGATAAAAATCTAGGTGGAGGAGCCAGAACAAGCCACAGAGGCCATGTCCTTGCAGGCCCAGGTGACTTGCTAAAGCCCGGGGAGGGGAGGAAAGGCAGGAGGCAAATGTGGAACCAGGGAGAAGTCACAGCAGAGACAGGAAGGGCAGTTGAGGTCACAGGAACCAGTCCACAGAAGACTGCAAAGGATGTGAAAGCCAGGAAACAAGCCAGGCCCCCTGGATTGAGGGAGGAATAGGGGACATCCTTCCCAGCCCTGGGGCTAAACCTAGCATACAGGTGTGCAATGAACACTTACTTAAAAAAAGCAGCTGGACTAGATGTGCCTGGTGCCTCGCCCACCCCAAGGCCCCCTCCAGGGCTCAATCCTGCTCAGCATCTGGGCCAAGCGGAACCACTGGGCTCCAGGGGCAGATGTGGCACCAATACAAGACACAAAGCTTAAGGGGCAAAGGACCTTTGTGTCTCACTCTCTCCTGTCCCGTCTCCAAGCAGGCTGAGCCCAGGCCAAGTCCCCCTTAGAGACCCGGAACCTGCCCCACTCCAGTCCGCCTCCCTGGGATTCCCATCACCCCCACCTGCAGTGGATGACCACGGGCCCAGCATCTGGTGGTGTGGAGGCCTTGACACGCCGGATGAAGGCCAGCAGTCCAGTGGCATGGTAGGGGACACCATGTTCTGGCCATGCTGTGAAGTGGAACTGGCGGACCTCGTGGCGGGCAGAGTAGCCTCTCTGCAGACACAACAGTCAGTATCATGCCAGCATCTACTAGGCCTTTGCTGTGTACCAGGCACTATGGCGAGCACCTCACTGCTTGTTTTCTGGACAGACAGACACTACGGAGAACTTGGACAGGGGTTTGCCAGGTGCTCGAACCTATGCTACTAAATTCCCCCCGCAGATCACCATGACTCTCTGGGCCTGAGTTTCAAGGGAGAAATTGTTCCTCCTCTGAAGAGCTTAAAGAGCCGTCAAGAGGTTCATGGACCAGACTTGCCAGCCAGTCACTGACCCCTGTGGCCTCTGATGTCTGACACAACCACTCTGAGCTTCACTTGTTTTAGTTGATAAATGGGACTAAGGAGGGCTGGGGGTGTAGCTCCCTGGTAGAGCACGTGCCTGCCCCCATGAGGCTCTGGGTTCCATCCCTAATACCACCACCCAAAAAAGGGGAGGGAGCTAACGGTAAACATCTAACTCATGGAGCGAAATAGCATCGGTGGTGGGCTCAACACAAGACTTCACAGAGTAGGAGTGCCCACCTGGGAGCCACTGTCACTGTCTTCATTGTCTCAAATTCCTCTTGGAGTCACCAGCAGGCAGTTACCTCCCATCCTGCCTCGGCTCCCAGCAAGCCCTTTCCAAGCAGCTTCCTTGCCCAGCCAAATGGTGTTCTTCCTCACCTCCCGTGCTCACTGGATGGGAGGTGGGGTGGCACCGCAGGGAACAGGACTGGGGCACTCACCCGCTCCAGAGCAAAGGTGCGCACAACATACTCGGCCAATGTTTCCGTCTTCATCAGTGTGATCTTGATGTCCCCGTACATGTCTGAGTCCTCTGGCCAGTACCGTGAGCACTTCACCTGCAGCACCCACAAGCCAGGACTCAGTGGGCTCTTCACATCCGCCAGGGCCCACCCTCCCCCCAGGGACCCCCAGCCCCGCTTACCCTGCCCACCTCTACCAGCTTGGTGATCATGACGATGCTCGAGCAGTGCTCCTGCCACACCATGCGCCAGAAATCGTAGATCATCTCAGGCTTCGGCCCTGCGGGCACAGGCGGCCACCTGTCCCTTAGCAAGGTCTCTGCCCAGGGCCAGCAGGCCTGCTGCCCAGCACCACCACCCAGGCCAGGAGGCTCTCTGGGGCCCTCGCGAGGCTCTATGATCACCCCACATTCACCCCACCAATGGCCAATTCATGCCTGCAGGGCCCTGGGGTGAGCAGTCCCAGGGAGAGGCCAGTCGTGCTGAGTGGGACCCAGGAAGCAGAGCTGGAGGGCAGATTCCCAGGCCATGAGACGAGTCTCCAGGAAGGATGGATGGATGGATGGATGGAGGGGGAGAGAACTGGCCAAGTGGGACCCAGAGAGCCACAAAATTGAGAAGTACAACCCATCCTTGAGGACTTGGCCTGACTACCCCTTTTGCACACACAACCATGGAGGCAAGTGGACGAGGGCACCACAGAGACACTGATCACACTGGGAGATACAGAGGGGACAAAAACTGACAGCAGATGCCAAGAGACCAGGCAGAGAAAGGGGACCAGAGAGACAGATGGGAAGTTAGACAGGGAACCAAGCAGGTCACCAGGGAAAGTACACAGCAGGCAGCATGCACTGCAGCACATGGGATGTGCCCCAGCCAGGTACCTTGAGTGGCTATGAAGTGGTTTGACCTGTGATAACCCTAGAACAGGAGAAGAGAGCATGGTGAGACCCCCAGAGTAGCCCCTCAGCCCCTCAGCCCTCCCTTCCCCTTCTCTCCTGAAGCAGCAGCCCCCACACCAGGGAACTGCGCACCTTTGTGCCTGGGCCAACTAACGAAGGTGACCTTGTCCTCCCAGTCCCCAAGGTGGGTGGGAAGTGCAGCTGGGACACCAGTGTCTTGCTGTGTGACCCTTGGGAGGGCAAAACTCCCTTGTGGGTCTACAGGGCCTCCACATTCACAAAGGGAGGACAGTTAGTTATCTGCTCATAATGAGGGTGCTGTTTGGAGACAAAGCCAGAGGACCCTGCCCTGTCCCCAGACTCCCAGGAGCCTTAATCCACCCCAGACCCCAGATGTAGGATAAGCAGGTCAGCTCCCACAGGGCCTCGAGGCAATCAAAATGGACAGTACCTCTCTCTACTACCTCGGTCACCCAGAGCTTGGGGACCTAGATGAAGGCTTCAGAGTGGAAGCAAATGGCCCTTAGAGAACATTTTAAAATCCTGTAAGTCTATTACAATGATGCAGATTGGATGCACTTTCTAAGACCCTTTGTGGGTCACATACTGTGCTAAGCACTTTACCTGCATTGTCTTGTGCAAACCAGAGGCCAGGAGCTACTTTCGCCTCCACTTCCAGAGCCTTCAGGCTGAGGAAAGGAGCCAACTCTGGCCCCAGGGCCACAGCCACCTTGAAATCCCCCATGAGGCCTCACTGTCTGGGACCAAAGGGCTGCCAGACACCTAGAGCACCAACGCAGGCATCATGGAAAGGGGAAGAAGCACCCCAAGGATGGTGCAGGAGAAAACCACCCAGCTCCACCCCTGGCCTCGAGGTCCTGCCCTCAACTCAGCTGTAGGTAACCCCTCTGGCTCCATGGGCTTCCCAAACCCAAGAGCGTTGGAACCAAACAGCCAGGGTTCAAACCCCAGCTCCACCTCCTGCCAGCTGTGTGCACTGAAGCCAACACACCCACACTTCTCTAGGCCTCCATTTTCCCATTTACAAAGTGGAATAATGATAGTTTTTACCTCAAGGGCTATTATGAGAAGCAAATAAAGTACTATAAATTGAGAGTCACCAGGTCAAGCACAAAGTCAGTACTCAATAGTAACAATGATTACTACTGTTTTAAATGTTCAGCGCTGTCTCTTAAGCTTCAAATGGTATCAGTGTCAAGAGTTGCTAGGGTGGGGGTGATTTATTATAGGAGTTAATACGAGTCTTGGAGTATAGTGGACCTGGGTTCCTGTCACAGCTCGGCCAAGGAGGCGCTGTGTGACCCCGAGCACTGAGAGGGTGCTTCTCAGCCTCTCAAGGACACAAGGATCTCCTGCAATCTTGGTAAAAGTCATACTGGGGCTCAGAAGGCCTGGGGATGAGGCCTGGGGTTGCTGGTTTCCAGCCAGCTCCGTCTGGGGCAGCACCGTTGCTGCCAGCCCTCAGATGCACGGAGCGGGCGGCCGGGCTCTTGGCCTTGCTAAGCCTGTTTTCCTCTGGAGAATGAGGACACCAGCAAGACCTGTGCTCAGAAATTCAGTTACCTACTTACCACTGCCATGAAAAAGACCAAAGCACAAAGTGACTAATAATGACAAGTCTCCAGGGCCACTCACTCTTCTCTGCCGGGAGCCCCAGCAGGTCTGGCCTAATTCCCGCCTGCTGCTGCTCCAAGCCACTGTCTCTGGGTCAAGTCCCTAACAGAGCTGCTGGGCAATCGGACAGAGGGGACGTGAAGACAGAGGACAGGGCGGGCCTGTTATAGGTGCTGCTGGTGGCTGTGCCCCCAACCTCCAGCCAAGTCAAGCTGGACCTCCACTGTCCCATCTAAAACCAGCTCGCTAAGAATCCCACCGCAAAAAAAAAAAAAAAAAAAAGAATCCCACCGCAGAGCAGGTGCCTCCTGTGATTCAGCCACCTCTGTCACCCCCAGGGCCCAGCACAATACAATACCAGCACTCAAGCACTAGTCAGGAAATAATGGAGGCATGGAACTCAATTAAAATGGATCAACCAGGCTGTGGGTGTAGCTCTGGGGCACAGCACTTACCCAGCCTGCATGAGGCACTGGGTTCCATCCCAGCACTACTGGGAGAAAGGGGGGGGTCACTTTGCCCAGTGCCCAGCTGGTCTAAAATTAGGCTCCATTAGTAAATGTTCTGCTTTTTTTCAGGGTCCTATTCTTTTGTTGTCTGCAGGCATCATTTTGGAGAAAGTATAATCCAGGGTCATGTGACCTATCTTTGTCACAACCCTACTTGAAGTAAGTGAGCAAACAGCTCTGAATGTCTACACACTAACATTTTCAATACATACATGTGTTTGCTGCATGATTATATGACATAGAGACACAAATAAAGTCCAAAGTGGTTTGATTTTAAAGGAAGGTGAGTAGATCCTCTATGCTCACCACTGTGCAGACCAGCATTGCCCAGCACCGGGCCTCACACCCCAGGAAGCCTTGGCAGGTTCTAGGACCGTGCTCCTGAGTCCTGAGTCCTTCCTGGAGGCAGACTGGGTGGTCCCAGGGGACAGACTGGGCACCTTTGCTATAGGCAAGAACCCCAGGGCATCCCGATGCTCCCCAAAGGGCAAGAGCCACAATCTAATGTGAAAACCAAGTGCTAAGGCCAGATGGCAGCATTCAGCAAGTCACTTAAATTTTCTGAGGCTCAATTTCTCACCTGTAAAATGCTACTCACTCTGGTCCCTCCCTTGCAGAGTGTGGTAAAGATGAAATGATGTCCCTAGGGTACCTGGCACACGGCAGGTGCTCAGTGAGGGACATAACTGGTAACTGGCATCGGAAGAAGCATTTAGCCAAACTTTCTCAGGGTATTTTTTTTCCTTTGTGGTGCTAGGGATGGAACACATCAGGCAAACACTCTGCCACTGAGCTGTGTCTGCAGCCCCTTGGAAGGATGTCTCTTCAGAGTCGAACAACAGGAAAGCAAATGACTGAACTTCAAGAGCAAGTGGGTGTGGGGGGAAATTGAGGCGTGGACATGTAATGACCTGAATTCATCACAACCCACAGGAAGCACTAGGGATGGACATATCCATTGCATCTTGAAAGCCTCATCATCCTTTTAAATTTGAAAACTTCACAAGCCAACTGTGTAACTATACTCAAAATAAGAGATACATCTGGGATAATGGGTCCTCCCTCCCAAATGTCACCGTGGGGAGCTTTCACTCTATATGTTAGTCTCCCCATGTTGTCTGAAAGTCTGATAATGAACAGAATTTTAGCAATGATTAAAAAAAAAGCACGAAATATATTTTTAAAGGAAAAAGAGAAACAAAATAGAAAAGGTACCCCACAAAATAGCAAAGGATCACAGTCATTAAATATTATGAAAATAACATGTATGTATTAAAAATCAAATCAGAGCCACTATGTGCATTAGGATTGGGTTTTGTTTAATTCTTAAACGGTCAGAAGGTAGCTCAATTTTTAAAAGTGAATATACAAACTGCTCCCCAAAAAAACATTCAAATTAGGACTAAATTAAAGGCAAATCGGTTGGGGTTGAGTTTTAAGCAAACTGATCATGAAGGGATTTGAACATCAGGGAAACTAGTTGTAGCAGGCTGACCAAGGGCTGTCCCTGACCCCTAAGCAAACAGAGACAGGACCACCCAGGGCATCTTCCCCACCCTCCTCGCTGAGAGTCCTGCTAGTGAGGCTCACTGGTAATGGGGTTACTCGGGGACAAAGGTGGCAGAGAGCGATGGCCAGAACAGAACAGGGCTAAGAGACACACCCAATATGGCAGCCCCATCTCAAGGAGGTAGAGGATGCGGGGGGGCGGCGCTTACAATAGGGACACTGTCAGATCTTCAGCTCTGGGCAGCCCCTGGCCAGGCTGCTGAAATGGACGGTTGGTTTTGGGTGCACAAGGAGAGGGGAAAGAGGGAAGAGACTGGAGAGAGAAAGGGAAGGAGGGAAGGTAGGGAGGAGGGAGGGAAACAGGGAGAAGGGAAGGAGGGAGGGAGAGAGGGAGGGCAGGAGAGGCAGGCTGAGATACTGTCACTCAGACAGACAGAAGGAGGTGAGGAGGAGAGAAGGAAGAAGAGGAGGAGGAACAGCGGGAAGAGAAGGGAAGGAGGAGAAGGGAGAAGAGGAAGAGGAGAAGGGGCGGGAGATACTTACTTGGCGGTTTATCCGAATCTTAATGATTCCAGTGAGGGAACAGTACAAAGCAAAAGAGATAGATGTTAGGCCAGAGGCAGATGGAGGTGGACAGGGCACAGGACTGGCCAGAAAGGGGATGTGAGCAGAAAAGCAGAGACAGGAGGGCTGGGCCAGGCCAGAGAAGGGGAGTAGCTTTTCCCTGCCAGAGCCCAAAAGAAGGCGACTAGGCCTTGACAAGACCGAGGAGAAGCCCACTGTCACCAAAGCTGCCCAAGTCTCCGAGGCCAGGCCCAGCCCTCACCCCTGCCAAGGGACGGGACGGGAGCTGTGGGGAAAGATGAGCGGTTCTGGGGAACATGGAGTGTCACGTCTGGCCCCAGGAGGAAGACGAAGAGGGAGAGGAGAGCCGGTGTCCAGAGTCCCTGACCCCCTCAGCTCCCCGTAGTGCCTTGCTCCCCAGGCCTTTGCTCACGTGCCCCTGCCTCGGTGTCCTGCCCTTTCCTCTCCAGCCACCCGAGAAGCTCGGTCCCTGCTTCCTCCACGCAGCCTACCACAGCCACCCTGGCCGTACCACAGAAGGGTTGTGTGCCACTGGGAACGCCATTTCTCTCTTCTGTCTGGCCTGTGCTTTCCCATCTACTCTGAAATCATTTCACCTGTGTATATGTGTATCTGTCTCCCCCCCGTCAAATACATGTATTCAAAGGAAGCAGGGAACATGCCTGTCTTGTTCACACCTGGATTCCTGGTCCCAGGCGCTCAAAATATATCCATAATGATGCTCTCGCAAACTTGGTTTGCACGGGGAGTGGAGGAGCCCCACAAAAGTCCCTGGGCTCTCCACCATCATCTCTGGACACCCAATCCAGGTCTCCTGGCTGCCTCCCTATCTCTGGCCCCTCCCTCCAACCCAGCCAGATCCTGCCACCACAGCAGGTGGCCAGATCGCCTGATGGTTAGCAGCAAAGGCTCTGGAGACAGAGGCTGAGGTTTGAGTCCTTTCATTCACTATCTGTGTGACCCAGAACTCTCTGCTTCACTTCCCTCAGCCCGTTTTCTCACCTGTACAAGGAAGTCGTGACGCTAACTACCTTATCAGGTAACTATAGGGGTTATAGAAAATGCAATATTGGCTATAAAGTGCTTAGCACAGTGCTTGGCACATAGTATATGCTCAATAAATGTGCTTTTTTTTTCTTTGCAGTTCGGGGGATCAAACCCAGAGCCTTTGCACTGAGCTGTATCTCCAGCCCTTTTTTATTTTTTTATTTTGAGATGGATCTAAGTTGCTAAATTGCCCAGACGGCTCAAACTTTTGATCCTCTGCCTCCCAGAGTGCTGGGACTACAGCCACTGTGAGTGGCTGCATTATTATGCTTAAAGTACCATTCTGATCGCAGTCAAAACATTTTGACAACTCCCTAGTGCCCCTAGAAAAAAGTACAACTCCTTACCCTGCCGTTTGAGGACTTCACCCAGCCCCATGCTACCTCTTCAACTTTAGAATCCACCCTCCAAGTTTGTAGCCTCTCCCTGAGAAGGGATCCTGCCTCACCTCTAGGCCTCGCTGTCCGCCCTTGGACCTTCCTTCCACCTCCCACCTCTCAGGCCAGGAAGCCTGCAGGAAGCCTTCCTCCCCTAGCTCTGAGCTCTCTGGCACATAACACAGAAGACAGGGCAGACAGAACTTATTTGAACCCCCATTGATTCCCTGACAGGTTCCTGCCCCTCCTGGACAGTGAGCCTGGAGCAGACAGGGCCAGGCCAGCAGAAATGACAGGGGCAAGCACTCACGTCTATGTAGTTGGCATTAATGTAGTCAGCATTGGGGTCTCCCAGCATTGGGTGCAGCTTCACTCGGTGCCGGTCATCTGTGAACACAGAGCAGGTGGACACAGGCTGGAGCAGGGGACCCAGAGTGGGGGCGGGTGAGGAAGGCCAGAGGCTAGCTTCCTGGAGGCTAGGGGTGGAGCAGCTATGAACACTAGAGGCTCGGGCTGACCAGAAGGGTCTGGGCACCATGGGAGGCAGGACAGGCCAGGGGTTAGAGTCTGGGCTGTGGAGTCGAAGAGTCCCAAGGTCGTGTGTTGTTCAGGTAATTAGCTGTGCGAGCGTGAGCAGAGGTCTTAGTCACTCCAGCCTCGGTTTCCTCATGGTAGATCCTCTATAAATGACAACTAATACTACCACAATCTCTGAGAATGGCCCCAGCTCCCTCAGGATGTGTTTCCCCTTTCTGGTCCGCCCCACCCACTGCCCTGGACCCCAGCCCCCTTCCCAGAACTCACAGGCAGGCATGGATTCCTGCCGGCCACCCTTGAGCTTGTCTTTCTTCTTGGTGGCATCCCAGCCTTCAAAGAAGCTCTGCCGGAAGGGAGAGTGGTCGTCAGCAGGGGAGGATCCCAGCACACGCAGAACCTCTCCCTTCAACAGGGAGGATGTGGGCAGGAAGGGGGTGGGGACATGGGGAGGGTCAGATTCAGGGCTGAACTTGGGGCCTGAGAGAGTGAACCCTGTATCGGTGACGGACCAGGTTCAAAACCAAAGGCTGTGGGAGGAAAGGACACGAAAAGACAGGGGAGAGTTCACAGACATTTTAGAATATGAGTCAGGTTTAGAATAAGGGTCAAATCAGATTTGAGTTAGAAAGGGAAAGGTGAGGATCAGATCAAGATTGGGATAGGGATGGTGTCATCAACCAGGTGGAGGAGGACAGATCCAAGTCAGTGGAGTTTAGGATGGGACAGGTCAACAGCAGATGGGGTCTGGTCAAGGACACTGCTGGTGATTTGGTTCAAATCAGAGACTGGGTCAGGACAGAGATGGACACTGAGAGGACATTTAAGATCAGATTTCAAACCAGAATTAGGATGACAGGGGAAAAAAACAGGTAAGTGTGTGAGATCCGGGTGAGGGTAACGGATGAAAGAGTTAGTTTGAATTGGAGGCTGTCAGGGTAGGGATATCTAACTGGAGCTGGGCTGAGGGTTGCCAGCGTCAGGATACACAGCTAGGAGGACCGAGGGAAGCCCAGATGGGGTCCTGGCTCGACCGGCCGTGCGTGCACCTCGTACTCCTGCTTGAAGCCGTAACCCTCGGCCGTCTTCATCTGGTTGATGTGCTGCAGAAGGTCAGCCACACGCACCGCAGGGTGCAGCTGGCCGGTGTGATAAGGGGAGCCCTTCCGGCCACACGGACGTCGTGGAGAGCCCCCCAGCAGGCTGCTGGCTTCTGTGACCCCACCGCTGCGCTGGTCTCCTGCAGCCAGAAGAAGGGAGAGGGGTTCTTGACAAACCTGTGCCCCAGCCCAAGGGACCCCAGGTGGGCTCAGGGTGGGGCAGGGAGGGTGGAGCAGACAGGGAGCACAGCCACTGTGGCCTGTCCTGCCCGATCCTGGGCACACCCCTTCCCTCGGCACCTCGGTGTCCCATCTATAAAATGAGCAGGTCAGATCAGACGACCTCAGGACCCTGTGGTCCTGCCACAGTGCTACCCTCACTCCACCCTGTGGCGTTTCACACACGGTCTACAGAGGCAGTGCTCAGCAGAACCCCTGCCAGCACCTCTGTCCCACTCCTCTTCCAGGGAACAATCTGGCACACTGGCAGCTCCCAGCAATTACCTCCCCGTTCAAAGATGAGCAAATCAAAATTCACTGCCACCACCCTCTCCACCGATGATAGGAACCACCTGAATAGAAGCGTTTCTCCTGCGTGAGCAGTTCCATTGTCAGCCTCGCAGCGGCCAGCAGGAGAGGGGGGCTGGGTGGCCTGCGGTGCCTCACGTACCCCAGTGCCCTCCTCCCAAGCCCCACTTCCTCCCCAGTTCTTTGGGTCAGGATCCCCAAGGACACCCTGCTGCCTGGCCCTGGAGGTCAGGGCTGAGGCTGAGAAGGCAGCTGTTGTCCCTCTGCCCCCAGCACTTGCTCCCACTCTCTCACTCATTTCCCTCGTGTATCAAACCACATACGCCATCGTGGCCTGGCGCCCCATACCCTTAATTTTACAGATGGCGAGGCTGAGGTCCAAAGAGCATGACTGGCCTCATGTCATAGCTGCCAAAGTGTGTTCCAGAGCAAACTAGGTAGACAAAATGATTAACTGGTATGCTGCTGAAAAGATGAGGAGGAGGATGGGGAGGGGGCTCTGCATTTTGAAGGAGTCTGTGAAATTCTGGCATAAACAAAAATAAATAGATCTCTTCCCTGTAAGACCTCTCAGGGCTTCCAAGATGTTTGCGTGCATTTTAAATCTCCAAGAGATGAATGGAAAGAGCGATGCTTCAGAAACCTCTTTCACCATGAGAGCTCTTTCTGTTTCCCGAAATATCCTCGGGGGAATACTGCAGAATGTGGAGACTGAGACAGGCCGTGGAGTCAAACAGACCTCAGATCAAATCCCAGCTCTGCATGTGGCCTTGGGGATGTTATTCTCTCTAAATTTCTACTTTCACATGCCAAATCCAGATAAAGATGGTTACTGCCCAATATGTGATGATGTAAATATTAAATAAGGACATACAAGGCACCCAGCCCAGGGCCTGGCACACAGTGAGAACCTCCACAGGGTAGCTGTTGGTGTTATTAGTTGTCCCCAAGGAAAGGAAGACTCCCTTGAGGCCCAGCAAACCAAGGCAGCTGGCCGGTAAGAGTCTTGGTCCTTCTCCGCTGTAAGATTTTGATCCAGTAGCCTGAAGAGGCAAATGAAAGAAGCATCCACAACAAACACAAGATTTCAAGGATTTCTGCTGGCTCAGAGAACTCGGGGACTCAATGAGGCAGAGGACTCTGGTGCTCTTTGTGGGAACGGAGTCAACAAAGGGCTCTCCGGGTGGAAAAAGAGCAAATGAAGGAGGGAGGGAATCAAACAGTTCACCCCCTGAGGCCCTAAAAGGCCAACATCCCTGCCACAGCCCCACAAGCAGGCACACAATGGACCCACAATGGTCCAGGCCCAGTAAAAGATCCACCTGGTTGAGATCCTGATGGGAAGACAGAGCCAGGTCCAGGTAGCTTTCAGCTAGGTCCAAGAACAACACAAGATGTTCTGCAAATAAGACCCCTAGGAAAGGATGGGGCTGAGTACAATGATGTTCCCAAGAGGACCCTCCTTTTCCTGGGCCCAGCGAAGACAGGTCCCTACCCTCTTTGCCCATGAATTTTCCTGTGGGATTTGAGACACAACTTCTACCCCACACCATCCTCCACCCCCAAGGACCACCTTGCCTATGGCTGGTAGCCCCTGTGAGGGAGGGAGGAAGGGAGCAAAGTGAAAACCAGACCCTGGTTTCAAGGTCAACACCCAGGTGCTCTCCCAGGCTCTTCCTCGCTCCAACATGAATACACAACATCTGTGCATAATTGCTGGGGAGGGTTGGGGCAGGCTTATGGGGTCGTACAGGGGAGGGTGAGTGCAGAGAATGCTGGGTTTGGAGGCAGAAAGATCTGAATTCGAATTCTAACACATCCCTCAACCTCTCTTGGCTTCAGTGTCCTCACCTCCAAGTGAGGATCCATTCAGTGCCTATTTAAAATAAAATTTCTTGGCAAACTAAAAACTAAAGGGAACTTTGCTAATCTGATATAACATTTCTATCAAAAAAAAAAGCAAACTTTTTTCTCAGGATTTAAATGTTAGAAGCATTCCTCATGAAGTGAAGAAAACAAGACAAAAGATTTTTGCTATAACTACTTCTATTTAATGTAGTCCTGGAGGTTCCAGCCAGTACTATTTACAAAACAATAGGGGAACAAAGGATTTTTTTAAATGGGAAAGGTGAAACAGAGTGGTTGGTATTTGTAGGTCCTTTAAGTGTAGGTGGAAACATCTGAAAGATCCTGTAAATGAGCTAGAATTTATAAGAAAGTTTATCAAGTATGAATATAAAATCAATATACAGGCCAGGGATATAGCTCAGTGGCACAGTGCCTGCCTGGCAAGTGCGAGGTCCTGAGTTCAATTCCCAGTATCAAAAAAAAAAAAAAAATTAATATACATACAAAAAAATCAACTGCATTTTTCTGTATAAAACTGGTAATATTTAAAAGTATACCACTTGCAATAGAAGTTTTAAAAAAAATGACTTGGAGCTAAGGGTGTAACTCAATAGTAGAGAGCACCAAAAATTAAATAAGTAAGTATGCAACCTGGTATCTAACAAAAGATGTGCAGGATTTTACAGAGAAAATTACTGGAGGACAATCAAGACCCAAATAAATGAGGTGGTATATATCATGTTCATTAATGGAAAAACAGTTTGATAAGATGTCTCTTCCACTCAGATTGATCTATAGATTCAATACAAATCCATCCAGCAAGGGCTTTTAAGAAACTTCAAAAGATGACACTGAAATTTATAAGAAAGAGAATGAAGACAGAATAGTAAAGATCCCCTTGACAAAGAACAAAGCTGGGAAGGTTTAACATTTCAGACGAAATGGAACAAAACTAAACTGTGCAAGTTTGGCACAAGTATCACCAAATTAACCAGAGAAAGAGAACACGGAGCCAAAAACCAACCCACACATACATGGAAACATAACATAGGACAAGGCCGGCGCCGCAAATCGGTAGTGAAAGTACAAACTATAAGAAGTGATGCCAGGACAGTTGATTATCCCTATGGAAAAAAGGAAAATCCTTAATTCGAACCACACACAAAAATTAACTCCAGATGGATAAAGATTTAAATGTAAAATACAAGATATTAAAAGTTTGAGGAGAAAAAATATAAATATGACCTCGGTTAGGGAAGCAGTTCTTTAAAGAAAAGACAAAAAGTAGATACCATAAAGAAAAAGACTGATAACTTTGACTACATTAAAATAAAAACTTTCTGTTCATCTAAAGACACTATAAATAACCCAGAGAGATGAGCTATGAATTGGAGAAGTTATTTGCAATTCATATTTGACAAATGATTATTATCCTAAATATATAAAGAACTCCTAAAAACCACTAAGAAAGCAACAAAAAGCCCAATAGAAAATTAGGTGAAAGACATGAACAGGCATTTCATGGAAGAAGAGACCTGAATGGCCAATAATGACTTGAAAATGCATTCAACCTCATTACTAATCAGAGATATGCAAATTAAGCCTATAGGGAATTACCATTTTATACAAACTACTTTGGCAAAGGCAAGAAGGCTGGCAAGTTTTGATCATGATGCAAAGCAACAAAGTCTTACACACTACTGCTAATGGGCAAACGGGTAAAATCACTTTGGAAAACTACTTGGCACCATCTTGCTAAATTTAAGAAGCGCATAATCCTTGATCCAGCAACACTACATCCAGAACGGCACAGGCATCTACAGGTTCACATAAGAATGTTCCCCACAGCCTCCTTTATGATAAGCAGACTCCAACCAGATACTGCAGTCCTTCGTGGCAGAAAAGTAGGCTCACAGAAAAGTAAATGGACTGCAGCAAAATATCCACATGGGCAAACACTAAAAAACATGATGCTGAGTTCAAAGACAAGAGTGAGATTTCATCTTTATAAAGCTTCAAAATGAGTGAAACTGCACAACGTATTCTTTGGAGAAATGTGCGCACACGGGAAAACTACCCCCAACAGACAAGAAGAGCACAAATGCATATTTTGGGGAATGTTTCTGCCCAAGGAGGTAGGGGATATAATAGCCAGTGTTCCAATAATGCTCCAGTGGGGTTCACTGGTGTCTGTTGTATTGGTAGGACTTTGTGACTTTCATACATATCACATGTTTTCTTTTATACTAATCAAGACTAAGTAGAATAAAAACATGTAGGATGAAGAAATTGATGACACACTCCTAGTGCACAACAGCTGATTCACTCTGCTTCCTGAATCCAAACACAGCACTACATGATTTACGTGATCTCATTTAGGCTTCCAGTCAGCCTGAAGAACCCTGAACAGCACTGCAGAGAACCAGCAGAGATGACCTTTACTCCCAATTTAAATACAGGAAACAGACCTCCCAGAGTTAGGCAACTTGCCCCAGGCCACAGAGCTGAAAGAGACCAGTGCAAGTCTATGTGGCACCAGTCTGGTCCTTCCAAGCCACTGGACTCCTTCATCTCACACAGGAGGTGCTCGACTATAATGAGGCTGCCTTGATCCCTGCAGATCTGAGAGCAGCACCTCCTCATGACAACTGTCACATGTGATCTTGCATCCCTGTTGCGTAGAATTCTAGGCCATTCCCCTAGCACACAATGCAAATACCCCTGGGCAGTTCTTCTGAATTTCCTTATAGTGCTGACTTTGATGAGGGGTGTAACCGAACTCACCCAACGAACTCGCCCAACGTGGAGTGGGTCCAGGTGCAGAGCCCCAAAGCCTGGGAAAGGGCTGGGGTCAGCACTCACCCCTAGGGCTGTAGCCTGGCGCATCCATGAAGGACAGGCCCAGCCGCTCATCCTCCTGCAGGGTGCTCTGGTCTGTGAAGCTCCGGTCTACAGCGCTCATCATGTGGGTCTTCTCCTGGCGGTAGTTGACAGTGGCCTTGGCCATGTTCACCGGCTTCCTATGGGGGAGGGGTTGATGAGAGACACAGGCACCGTGCAGGGCTGGACAGTGCCCAGTGATGGGAGCGCAGGTGCCAGCAGTCAAGCAGCCTCAGGGCCAGGCAGCTGTCCCCGAAACATGTGCAGATGCAAAAAGGCAGTCACAGAGGTCCACCTGCATCCTTCACTCCCCAGCTGCTGCCCCCACCCCACCTCCAAATGCCTGGCAGTAGAGGCCTTGTGCCAAGGCCTTGTCCTAATCCTACTTGCTCCGAGGTCTCAGTTCCCAGGTCTCAGGAAATGGGTATAAAATTCACTCTGGGCCTAATTCACTGTCACAGCAGTCAAACACTACACCCCAAACTAGGAGGAATGCTGGCCTGGCTCCAGGTCTAGCACGCCCCACCCCTCACAGAGACCTGGCCTAGGAACTCCCTTCTGTCCTGCTGCAGTCATCGAGCCCTCTGGCAGGTCAAGAGGCTGCTCAGTAGCTCGAGAGTCTCCTTGAATACAGTAAACTCCAGCCTCAGCTCTCGCTCCTGCCAGGACCCCTGGGATGGCCCCACATAGACCGCCCTAGACTTGCAAAGTAATACTCGGGGTCCATACTCCCCACTGCCCACCTGCTCGGCCTGCTGCTGAGAGCAGAGAAGAAATGAGACCGCCCTCCCTCAGGCCTGGCTTCTCTCCTCTGTGACTCCTGAGGAATGGGCAGGACAGTGGGAGGGAAAGAGGGTGGGCAGGCAGGGGACAGAGCTCCATGATCAAGGGGGCAAAAATGGGCAGAGGAAATGAGTTGGGACCCCTGCGGAAGGCTCCAGAGGAAAGGGCTGCTGCTCACCTGCTCGACCCTACACTGTGCAGGTGTGGGCAGCCCAGGGTATGAGGGCTCAGGGACACTGACCACCGATGGGGACAAGGACTCCTGTTGGCCAGTCCTGAACTCAAGAGCTCTCTGGGGCAGGGAAGGACAAGGGAACCCAGCAGGCTCAGGCATCGCCCCGACTGTGGCCGAGGTTGGAGTCAAAGACCCCTCTGGGGCCAGTTTGGGAGAAAACTCTGTGGCTGTGACCTCAGTCAACTACCTTGAGGTAGACAGACAATGGGTAGGATACAGAAGATGAGGAGAGTGAGAGTAAAGGGACAGAAACAAGGAGAGAGAGAGAGATGGGGACAGAAAGAGAGGGAGGGGCGGGCCAGACACCGGCAAACCACAGGAAGACAGAGGGCCATGGACGGTGGACAGCGGCCAAGCTGGCTGACAATGGCACCCAGGAAGACCCATCACCTAGTGGAGCCCAGCTAGAGGACAGTCTCCCTGTGGACCACAGGGCTCTGCTCCCAGCCCAGGGCTCGCGGCCTCTTTGGAACAAGAAGCACAAACAGACCAGCCAGATCCACACGGGACAGAGCCACGAGGGACACCTGACCTTGCTGGCCTCTGCATGATCTTAGAGTGAAACGAGGCCGGTGGAATTTAACACAAACACTTTCAAAAGTTCTGCATTTAGATTCAAAAATTATCTGCACGAGGCACAAGGGAGGGAGAACCGCCCCGTCAGCAAGTTCTGCAGGAGCTGAGTTGGAGGCTCAGCGCCAGTGGAGGGAGGTCTGGGTGCAGAGAAGTGATGCCAGAAGCCGGCATGCGAGCAGCAGGTCCAGGACAAGTGTGGCGAGGACACCAGGCTCAGAGAAGGGACATGACTTGTCTGCAGGAAGTAGCAGACTTGGCTGACTGACTACAAAACCGATGCTCATGGCCATGGCTTGAGGAAAAGGACAGGAGATAGAGCAGAGAAGGGGCTCCCCGAGGCAGAGGTGGCCACAGAAAGGGCTGACACCGGGCCAGAACAGGGCCCAGGAGCCCCACCAGAGGGGCAGGGGGCCTCACCCTGGGGGTTCCGGCCAGGAGAACTACTTACGGGTAGCAGGAGTAGGCGTAGTGGTCCCTCCTGGCAGCGTGCAAAGAGAATACCATAGTGTGTCCACAGCCTCCCAGCAAGGCGGATGAAAAACACCAGCCAGCAGGGAGGCCCTGCAGCTTCCTGAGCCGGGGAGGGGACTGGCCAGGCACTGGACAGGTCAAAGTGCCTTCCCTGGCTCAGGGGGCTGACTGGGCTTAGGCATTGAGAACCAGGACCAGGGGCCTTTCCAGAATCTCTGTGGAGCCTACTGCTTGGAGTACAGAGGTGGCCAAAGGACCCGGGGGACCTGAGGGATGCATAGCTGTCACAGTCATACACAGTCACACATAAGCAGACACACTATATATATAAGATTCACACACATATATATGCTCATACATGAAACACGCACACTCCCACATACTCATATGCACTCAGATGTATGCACACACTTGTGCACACACACATGCCTATGCACCCAAACAGCAACACAGTCACACAGACGGACATTTACAAACACATACAGATGCCCCACACACAAAGTCAGAGGTCCCTCTGCTCACCTATGGGTCCTCTCATCTTTGCAGATGCCCCCCACCCACAGGCCCCTCTGCCCCTGAGCAGGCAGCCATCTGCAACCCTTGAGCTGGGAGGGACAGTGTCCAGAGGTGGGGAGAGGGCAAGATGAAGCAGGTCCAGTTGACACCCAGGGCAAACCCAGGCCTGCCACCTCCTGCCCCAACTGTCCCTGGTGTGGGGTCCACTAAGCAGCCAGACCCCCACTCTTCATGTACAACCTCACACCACTGCAGCACACCCACAGGGAGAAGCCAGAGCGGGGCTGAACCCATTTCACAGATGGGGAGGCTGTGTCACAGGGAGTCAGGGCAGAGTCCAGAGCAGGCATCAGGCCTCAAGGAACCTGGCCTAAGACCCTGGCCCTGAGCTTCCTTTGTGCTCCCCCACAAGGCCCCATCAGTCCCCAGGGGTGAGGATGACCAACCTCCTCAATAATATCCTACACTTACACCCCAAGCCTATCTGCCACCCCACCCCTTCCATACCTCCTTCGTTCCAACACCCCACAGTACAAACTGGGGGCGCCTTGTGAAACTCAGTGGCCTCTAAGGCCAAGGCAGAGTGAAGCGCTAGAGGAGACCTGAGAGGCTTTCAATGGAAGCAGCAGATGCAGCACAGCGCGGGGGCAGGGAAGGTACTCCAGGCTTCTGGGAGAGACTGCATAATGAGGGGTCTCCTGGCGAGGCTCTGACAGCACCTCTGATCCCCTCTCCTGGCCAAACACCCTCTGTGCTAGGGTGAGGGGTGCGCCCCACAAGGAAATCCTCTCTCTTTGAGGGTAGATTTCACCTGCATCCCCTAACAGCACCCCAGACACAAAGCCCTCTCCATCCCGTCCCTACCCCTCCCAGGCTCCCTGCTGGGAAGAAGAACAGGGCCTTGCCAAGTGCAGGTACCTACTACGAGGCCCTTAAAGTCAGGCCTGAGTTCAAATCAAGCCCCGCTGTGGAGCCAAGTGACAAGGAAAAACCGCTTTAACTACAGTTCCTTCATCAGTAAGAAAGAAAAAAAAAGGGAGTCAGATCTGCTTCATTTGCCAGGATCCAAGAAGGAAGTGTTCTCTGATGTATCCCAAACACCAGAACAGTGCCTGGCATGCGGTAGGTGCTCACAGCTAACGTCCTAATGGATGGTGTGTGCAAAGGCTCCCGGCACATAGTAATTACTCATTAAATGATAATTAAAAACATTTTGTCTCACAAAGCTGTGCAGGAACCAGGGAAGGGAAAAATCAGAGCCTAAGGCCCTGGATGGGCCACCCCCACCCCCCACTCTGCTGGCACATCCGCCCCCAGACTCCCTCTCCTGCTGGTGCCTGGCCTCACACAAGGTGGCCCTTGCCAGCTTTCTGTCATCTCCCTGGATCCTGCTTATCTGCTCCTGGCAGCCTAGGGAACCAGAGCCAACTCAACCATGTGTGCCCAGCCTGGCAGCAGCAGGAGCTAAGGAAGCCAGAGCCCAGGTGGGGAGAGAAGACGAAGCTGGCTCTGCCTCTGGCTCCCTGGGTGACCTTAGACAGTTCTGCTACCCCCTCTGGGGCTCAGCAGCCCTATACCTCAATTAAGGTGCTTGGGTCACCGTGTCCCGGGACTGCCTGATAAAGAAGTAAAGGTGGGGTCAGGAGCCCTCGACCCCCTCCAGCCAGAGCTGCTCCTCAGCCTACATGCACTGCATGGACTGGGCTCCCAGGACAGTGTTTTGTTTTGCTTTATTTTGAAGACAGGTTCTGTTGCTTTAAAAAGATTCAAAACCCCTGGACTAGGTGTCCTTAAACTACCCGGCAGCTCTCTCATTCTGGGGCTCTGAGCCTGCACAATTCTAAACACTGGGATTCCTAGAATCCTAAATCCTAGATTTCTGAAACTCTGAAATTCTAAGTACTGGATTCCAAGGCATCCTAGGATTCAGGCTGCCTTCAGCATAACGCAGTAAGAAACACCCCACATGAAGATGAGGCTGCACCTTTGACACCTTGGGGTCCTGGGGGGAGAAGGGTGTCACTTTCAGCCATGGCCCAGGAGGACTCCCCAGTGATCCGCAGGAGCAGGGTCCAGGGCAAAGCGGAGACCAAGGGTTAGGGAGCGTGGGAGAGCCATGGCTCGGGGCCCTTGGTTAGAAGTGGGGTGAGCAGCACACTCTGGTCAGCACGCTCCTGCACAATCACATGTTCAGGGCAGACAAACGGGCTGGAAATGTGCAGGGGACTGAGGGTTCAAAGTCAGGTCACCTCCACACCTCCCTCCTGGAACAGCCCGCACCGACACAGAAGAGCAGGGCCCACGGCCAGCACAGCTCCTTGGCACGGAACCAGGCACCAAGTGCCTTCGCTGGACAATAAGTAGCACCCGGCAGCCAGACCTGCACTCCATCGTGCTGCTCCAGGGCAGCTTCATTCAGAGTCTCTGGCCTCCTACTGCCCAACCTGGGTCCCTCCACAGGCCCCATGCCCAGCCTGGAGGCCCTCCACATAACCCACCAGGCTGCTGCTCTACCAGTCCCCAACTACACTTGGTACCCACTGGGCCTTCGAGGCCTAGACACCACCGATGGGCCAGGGCACAGGCCTCACTCACCCCTTTCGGATGATGACAATGATGGCCCCCAGGAGGAGGATGAGGACCGCAAGGCCCCCTGCACAGATGCCCAGGATGAGCCCCATCTCCTCCGATCTCTGGGACACCTCCAGGGGCCGCTTGCTTTCCTTGCAGGCAGCTGGGGAGAACAAAGCAGAAGAAAGGATCAGAGGAGGAGGATGGGTCATCCAGCCCTAGCTGCACCCGAGGAACAGACCAGGCAGCACAGACACCCGCCAGGCCCATGCTCCCCAGCACTGTCCTGCCTTTTGATCGGATCCATCCTCCACGGCCCTTCTGCCTTCTGCATTCCAGTTCAGTCTTCACCTCCCTCCATCAGGAGTAGCCCCTGTGCTCTCTCCTTCCACCCTCTTCCCTCCAAAGCTCTGCGTCATTCATCAGAAAGTGTTTGTTGGGGGTTGGGGCGCAGCTCAGTGTCAGAGCACTTGCCTAGCATGTGTGAAGCCCTATCAATCTCCTGTACCCCCTCCCAATAAAGTTTCCACACATGGGGATGGAGGACACCTGGGGCCTTCAGACCCACCCTCTTACCTTCCTCTGAGGTGACAGAGGGGAAATTTTATGACTCAGCCATCACAGAATGGTAACCGAACACACCCCGTGTCTAGAAGAGAGATAATCCCTACACCACAGGCTGCACGCTGTTCCTAACTCTCTCCTCTCACAGATACCGAACCCAGAACTAGCACCTCAGAACTCTCACCTGCTACAGCCAACAGAATGGGTCCGCCTCCACAGGCCTGTCCCGGGCCCTACCAGGACCCCATCCGGCCTGCGGGGCAGGGGATCTTGAGGTGGGGAGGCAGGGCACAAGGGAGCCGAGAAAGCAAGGCTGTGTGACCCAGGCCTGAGCACTGCCCGCACACACTCCCACAGCCCTGGCTCCTCAGGACCTGCTCCTCAGCCCTGTGCAGGCGAGAAGGGATCCAGCGAGACTCACCTTTCCTGGCGATTCGGATACAATTCAACCGGGTTTCCTGGAAGCACAGTTGAGAGGCTCAGCGCCAGGGAAGGCCCACCACGCCCTCCCCAGAGTTTCCTGGGCCTGCTCAGGGTTTGCGTGGTACGAACTGGAACAAAGGACAGTCCACCCAGCAGGAAGGCTCAGGAGTGGGGATGTGGGATACAGAGGGGAGCAGCCTGCTATAGGGCAGATCTTAAGAAAAGGGGATGAGATGCAGGCAACAGAGAAACAGCCTGGGAAAGGGGGCAGGACCTCAGAAATGAGGGTGGGTCTAAATCCAAAGGTCTGGTAAGAAGCCAGGGTAGAAACAATCTGCAGGGGGAGGAAGCTGAGGAAGGCAGTGGGGCCTCATGGGAAGACAGGGTCTGGGTAGGAGATGCGGCCTAGGCCTCAGATGTGAAACAGGAACCTGAGATGGGCTCCTCTGGGAAGAACGTCCTGAAACAGAAGGCAGGGCCTCGGGCAGGAACAGTGACTAGGCTGAGGACCTGGATAGAAAGGAGTATGGGCAAGAAGCTTCCAGAAGGGGATACGGGTCTGTGGGAAGGAGCCTGGGACTGGGAGGGACGCTTTCAAGGGAAGAAAGAGAGGCTGTAGGAAGGGGAAGGGTGGGGTATCAAGCCTCTCATCCACCATCCCGACCTCCCTCACCTCTACCCTGGCCGGTCCCTCACCCCTTTCAGGTGGCTTGCTGCCTGGAAGTAGATGAGGTAGGACTTCCTGGGCTCAAGTGGTGGGTTCCAGAAGCCGCGATATGTCTGGTTGTCACCCACTGTGAAGGGCATGGCCTCCAGCAGGCTGCTGGCCGCCAGTTCGGCCCCAAAGTAGTGCACTAGGCCACGAGCCAGCGCCGCCTCGAAGGTCAGAGGCACTGGGAAGCAGTCCTGGCCACCTGGCTCCCGACGCAGCCTCCGCGGCCGCTCCTCCTCCACAATTACCTGGTACACACTGGACAGGGAGGGGACAACGCAAGGAATCACAGCAGGCTCACAGACCATGAGAGTTGTCTGGTAGCAGAGGGCAGGGGCTTTGGGGTCAGGCTCACAAGGGGACTAATCTTAACTCTGCCCCTTACTACCTGGGCAAGTCATTTAACTTCCCTGGGCCTCGGTTTCCTCCTCTGTAAAATGGGAGTGACTGAGACATAAAGACAAAAGAATAGGCAAGTGTGGCAAGCAGCTAGTATATGTCAGTGCTACGCCTATTATTAACCAAGGCTGAGAGAATTCCGGCCCTGCTCAATGAAGCATGCCTCAGTGCACCTCCAGGGTTGACACAGACCTGAGCAGTGAAAGCTACCAATGGCTCCTCTCTGGGCCTCATGGCTGGGTCAGATTCATTCATTCATTCAGCAAGTGTTTATTGAGGGCTAGGGTGCAGCTTAGTGTTAGAGCACTTGCCTAGCATGTGTGAAGGCCTAGGTTCAAGCCCCGGTACCCACTCCCAAGAAAGTATTTGCTGAACTCAGATGAAAGTCTCTGTGCTGGGCACTGGGGAATCTCAGCTTCCTGAAACTGTCCACCAGTGGGAGAGATGGACACTAAGCAAACAAGGTCCTACCTGATACAAGTCTAGTACCCTCCCACCCAAGGCAGCCTCTCTGTCTGCAAAGCGGAACCCTCTGTCTCCGAGCCTAGCCCACCTGTTCTGAGTTGTGTTTCCTGCTCCTGAAGTCTGTGATTCTGTTTATTTTGTCACTTTACTGACAGGGCTTTTGCTGTGAGTACCTCCAAATCCTCAGCGGAACAAAGCTGAGAGTAAATATGTGAATGCTGACAAATTTAAATATTTCCCACAACAGCCTCTGCCACATCTCACGGTGAGACACCCCATACTGACAGCTTTTGCTCTGGAAAGGAGAAATGCCATTTCCCTGCTCTCCAGCTGTTATTTTTGAGCTTCCAAGTTATGGGAGTCAGGAATGTTGGTCACCAGCCCACTGCCTCTCACTAGCCTGTGACAAGCACCAGCCCAAGCCCCTCTCGGCCTCCACTTCCCCCCTGAGGTCAGGCCTCTCCCAGCCTCAACTCTCACAAAGAATCACAATTAACATTAGCCATGAGCAAAGCTCATCTTAATCTAGAATAATCCTCATTGTGCCGAAAAGGAAACAGAAGCTCAGAGAGGTGCAGGGCCAGGTCCTGGGTCACAGAGCCATCGTGCTTCACCCCTGGCACCATGTCCTACCTCCCTGCCCCCACCCAGCCCTGCCCTCACGTCTGACCAGTCCAGCTCATCGGATCCCTCAAAAGGATAGGAAAGGAGGAGCACTTCCCACCTCCACCCTGATCCAGCTCCATCAGGAGCCCGAGGCTCCAACAAAACACAAAAGGCCCTGACTTTTTCCTGGGTCCCCCTGGAGGATCTGAGAATCAGTTAGGACACAGCTTGCAGTGGCAAACATGGGGGAAGATACAGCAAGTGAGGAGGAGAGGATGAAGTAGGGGGTGAGGATGTCAGGGTCTGCCCAGGGCACGTGAGCAACCCCACTCTTACTAATAGTCACCACTCTCTCCCCACAGATCACCTTAGCAGAGGAAAGCAGTAGACCAGAGTGTCAGGGAGGCTGTGTGACTTCCAGAAAAGGGACAGGTTTGCAAATACACCTGCAGTGCAAATCCCAGCCCTATCCTTTATAGCTGTGCAGCCTTGGAACCAAGTTCTTACACTCTGAGCCAGTTTCCTGTTGTGTGAAATGAAGTAGTAACGTACATTGCATGGGGTAACGCATGGAGAATAGGACTTCATGTACCTAGTGTCCCAGGCACAGTGTCTGGCTGACAGTAAGGACATACACACAGTTGTACAAATATCACCACACTCTCATACACATGCACTCATCTCTCCCACACACACACACCTTCCACACATGCTCACACCTCCATGCCACACATGGCGCACACACATCTTTATCACAAAGACAACCCCAGGCTGCTCGCCTCCCTCACACACACTCCACCTCCACTCCAGCACCTTCTATCAGCAGGGGCAGCCTAATGACATCAGCAGCTTCCTCCCAGGAGGAAGCAGAGAAGCCAAGCTCTCAGCCACCCAGAGGGAGGCCTCATCTGACAGCTGCCCTAACCTTCTAGAAAGCTCATCCCTGTGTCCCCAAGGACAGAGCTGGAACTATAAAGCCTCCAGAGTTTCACTTCTCCAAGGTGCCTAAGGTAAGGGCCTCTGGAGAGGCCAGGACAGCCCCTTCTCCAGGACAGACACAGTCCCTACCAGAGGGGCATGATACATTTCCACAGAGGGGAGGACTTCAGGCTTTCCACCTGCCTAGGATCACAGAATGTCCTCCTCCACCTGAGTCCCGAGTGGGAGACTAAAGCAGAACAAGGGAGCCGGCCCGGTGGGGGTGCCAGGCCAGAAGAGGGGCCTCTCCCCGGTGGTTCTGGCCTCCCACCCCCGACGCAGGGTTCCCCACCTGATGGGTGCACCGCGGCCCTGTGCAGGCCTCAGCAGCACGGTGATGGTGTTCTCAGACTCGCCCAGGGGCGACGGCATGTCGGCATAATCAAAGCTGGGAGCTGGGGAAGGGAACAGGGACAAAAGCATGGAGCCTGGCCACTGGACCGGGAAGGTCACTGTTGACCGCTGCCCTCAGATCTCTTCCTGTGAAATCTTAGCCTCTTATTCCTTCTGACCTGAGCTTTCTCAACCTTGAGCACCAACCCTTGACTTTAACCCTCTGATTCTACCAACCACAGTTTCCTGACCCCTCTGATTTAACCTCCCCTGGCCTCTGACTTCAACCCCTAAATGGCACCCTTATCTCAGCAGGGATCCTCTGAAACCACCCTCAGGATGCCCCGCCCCTCTCCCCATGGAACCCCGGGACTCTGAGTCACCTCACAAACAGGCCAGACTGGGCTCCACGAGGCTCACCTGAGATGTTGGTGGTGATCTCAGTGAGTGCCGCCTGGCCAAAGCCTTTGCCCGTGCGAGCCCGCACAGAGAACAGGTAGGTGGTGCCTGGGTGCAGGTTGGAGAAGACGTGGTAGGTCTCGTTGCGGAGCTTGGAGATGGTACGCCTCGGGCCCGGCACATTCACCGCCGGGTCTGACGATTCGATGCTCTGGTAGCTGATCTGCGGGCAAAGGAGGTCAGTAGGAGCAAGAAGGTGGGCACAGGGGTGGGGACAGGATCACAGCAGGGGCCTCCCACCCATCATTCTCCAGGGGAGCTAGGGAGGCAGCTGGGCAAAGGGACGGGCTCTGCAGGACTGTGGGTGCCCCTTGGACCAGGCTTCAGGGAATCCTCACCTCTCCCCCCTGGTCTCAGAGCCCTCTCCCCAGAATGCACAGCACACAGACCCTAGCCACAGTTGAAAGAAACATCTGTCCACCTCCGCCCTCCTGTCCCTCCCTCTCCACACCATCACAGCAAGGGAAAGACGCTCATCTTCCCCCTCCCACCCGGAGCCCCCATTCACCTCATACTGGGTGATGAGGCCATTAGGTTCCTGGGGCTCCTCCCACTTGAGGAAGATCATGTCCTCCAGTGGTGTGAAGGTCAAGGACTCAGCTGCAATCCCACCAGGCACTGTAAAAGGAAGGGGCGGGGGAGCAGGGAAAGCAGGCTTTGGTTCCAAATACCAGCCTTGCCTCTTCCTAACTGGTTCACTTGGACTACCCAATCCCTGGGAACTTCGGTTTCCTCACCTAGGAAGTGAGAGATGATGTATCCCTCCACAACGGGAAATAAATAATGTGACATGCATAAAGCCCCAAGCAGCAGCAGTTCCCTATGGTCCATTTATTACCGAGTACTCCGAAAGGACAGGTGCCATTTTCACTGCTGTGCAGGTCATGTTCAACCAAAAGGGAGGTTTTAAGGCTCCTAATTTGGTACCAGTTGGGTATTTTTTCAGCAAACATATACACTTAACCAGAGAAATGAAAACAGCAATTGCAATAGGTTATTGGGATTATGGGTGGAGATGTTTTCTTATGTAAAAATGTCTAATTACATAAACAGCATGTTGGATGCAGAAAACCTAAGTGAGCATAAAGAAAATTAACAGCACCTATAATTGCATCATCCAAACATAAATACTGTCAAAATTTTAGCATAAACACTTTTAGGCATTGTTTGGTTTTTTGCTTTAACGTATACTCTAAGAGCTCGCATAGAAATCTCATCTAGGAAGAAAACAGTCTCCAGCTGGGAAAACACCTTGATAAACCATTGCAGGGAAGCTGAAGTCCTCAGGCAGAGAGAGCAGAAGCCAAAACAGCAATCGATGAAAGCTAAGCTGCTGTGTTAAGCAGTTCACAAGGCCACTAACCACCCATTCAAATGGTAAAATGAAAAAGACAATTCCCAGTGTCGGTAAGGACACAAAGCAACCACCATTTTCACACATGACTAGTAGAGTGCAAATTGGTACAACCACTTTGGAAAGTGTCTGGCTAGATCCACTAATGATAAATACCCTAAAACCTGGCTGTTCTGCACTTAGGCATAAACCCATCAAAAATGGGTGTTTCTACCAAAAAAAAAAGAATGTACAAGGATTTTATTTGCAGCATTGTTCAAAATAGTCAAACGCTGGAAACAACCCAAATACCCAACAATAGTAAACAGGATAAATAAATGTGGTCTATTCATTCTCACGGTGAAATATGCAGCAGTGAGAAGGAATTCACTAGGACTTCATACACCATGTACCCAGTCTCTCAAGCATAAAGAGGAAAGAAGGAATCCAGGCATCAAATGAATATTCATTCGCATATGATTCTGTTTATGTAAGGTCCAGAAATTAATCTGTGGTGAATGGGCAGGATAAGGGTTAACCTTGGGAGGTGGTGGAGGTAGGGAGCAGGAGGGAGCACAAGGGCGCTCCTGGGATGCTGTAATGTTTCCCCTGGTCTGCGCATGGGTTTTGAAGTGTCCAGTCTGAATCCATTGCTCTGGCCCCTAAAGATAGGGGTCAATGCTGTGCAGAAGAGAAAACTACATGTGTGGGCAGCAAGACAAACCACAAACCAAGGAGCTTGGGGGGACGTGGAGATGGTCAGGAATCTGGGGGAAAGTTTTGGACGTGGCCTGGCATTATGTGTGGCTTTTAAAGACAACTCTGGGGAGTGGCGGTGTCACTCAGTGGTAGAGTATGCACTTAGCACGTGCGAGTTCACACATCCGATATCAAAAAAAATTAACCACAATGATGCCACTGAAGCCAGATGGCCATGTTTGAAACCCAGCTCTGCTGCCCATCAACCAAGTATGAGTGTCTGACCTCATCTGTAAAATGGGGAAAGATATAATAGTCTACCACGTAGGGTTGTCATGGTGATTGTACACATAAATATAGGAAAAGCATTCAGAATAGTGTCTGCCACGTAGTAAATTCACAGTAAGTACTACTCTGACACACGTAGAATGCTGTACCCAGCAATGATAGAATGCAGTGTTTTCAAGTATACATGGAACATTTACCACAATTTAACCACCTGCTGGGCCACAAAGCAAGAAGCAAATCTCAAAGGACTAAATTTGGAGTGCATACTCTGACCACCGTGGGGTTAAGCTACAAATCAATAACAAAAAGATAATTAGAGATTCTAATTGCTTAAAAATTGAGCAACATAATTCTAAACAATTCTTGAGTCAAAGGAATTGTAACAGAAACTTTAAAATATTAGAGCTGGGGATACAGCTCAGCGGCACAAGCGCCTGCCTGCCAAGCGCAAGGCCCTAAATTCGATCCCTGGTACCCAAAAAAAAGAAACTATAAAATATTTAAATGGAAAGGTAATGAAGAGAGGCTATATCAAAACTTAACGTGTGGTGGGGAGGGGTCTATAATCCTGGTTAGTACATCTGAGGCCTGGACCCCCAATACCACAAAACAACTTAGAAAATGAAGCTAAAGCAGACCTTAAATTTATAGCTTTAAATGCATGTATTAGAGATGAAGCTTTCAAATCAATGATATAAAAAGGTCCTACCTCAAAATGCTAAAAGAATAGCAAATCAAATCCAAAGAAAATAATAAAGGAAATAAAGAATAGAAAGTAAATGTACAATAAAAAAAATCAACTAAGCTCAAAGTTGGCTCTTTGGAAAAATTTATAAAATTAAAACCTCTAGCAACCACAAGTAAGAAAAAGAGAGAGAAAATATAAATTAACAAAATCAGGAAAACCAAGCACCTGTAAGCCCAGCACTCGGGAGACTGAGGCAGAAGAGTTTCCATGAGTTCAAAGCCAGATTAGCCTACAGAGTCAATTTAAGGCCAGCCTGAACTATACAGCAAGATTCTGTCTCAAAAAACAAAACAGCTGCCAGGTGTGGTAGTACACACCTGTAATCTCAGCAGTCAGGAGGCTGAGGCAGGGGCATTGCTGTGAGTTCAAGGCCAGCCTGAACTGCACAGTGAAACTCTGTCTCAAAAAGACAAAAACAAAAAACCCCCAAAACTAAAAGTATATGAAGAATAAGAAGAAAGTAGATTACATTATGGATCCTATAGACATTAAATAAATATGAGAATATATTAATTTTTGTCAAGACCTCTGACAATTTAGAGGAAATGAACAAATTCCTTGAAAAACACTGTACACTAAAACTGATACAATAGAAAATCTGAATGTTCCAGTATCTATTTTACAAATTAAAACGATGATTAAAAAACATTGCCACAAGAACTGGGGATTTAACTTGATGGTAGAGCACCTGCCTAGCAAGCATGAGGCCCTGGGGTTGGTCCTCAGCATGGAAAATTTTAAAATAATAATAATAATAATAATGCCACAAAGAACACTCCAGGACCAAATAGCTTCACTGCTGAATTCTTCCAGACATTTAAGGAAGAAATGTTATCAATCTAGCCTAAAATCTTCCATGAGAATAAATATAAGCTGTCATTATTAATACAGTTTATTTAATCCTTAACCAAAAAACTCCCCAGACAGAGTTTAGTCTGGGACCAGGGGTGTGTGCGGGGCGCGCGGGCCCTGCGGTGGCCCCGGCACCCTTACCGTCCTCATCGGTCTGGAAGGTGACCTCCTTGCCCTCCTTGCGACCCTCGGGGTTGGTGAGCACCAGGCGCACGTGCACGTTGCGGTAGGGCAGCAGGTTCCGGATGGTGTAGCGGCTGGCGCCACGCTCCATCTTCACACACTCCCGGATGGTCTGGTTGTGGCTGCTGCCGGGGGTGTAGTGATAGCAGAGGGACACGGTGTAGGTGTGGCAACGCGTCACGTTGTAGCCCAGGGGCTCCCACTGCAGAGTCAGCTGGCGAGCCTGGATCTCAGCAAAAGCTAGGCCTTTGGGGGCTCTCATAGGCTCTGGGGAGCCCAAGAAGCAGAACGAAGGCAGAGGAAACGGGAAGAGAGAAAGAGGGACAGGGAGAGAAGGAATCAGTCAGCTGCCGGAAACCAGCCCTCCTTTGCACCCACAGTTCAAGGGACCTGGGACTGAAGTGGAGATAACAGTAAGTGCTTTGGAGTCAGCCAGGCCTCATCTGACTCCCACTGTGCCGACCGCAGCTGGCAGCCCCTGCCTGAATGGCATCACCTCTCTGAGGCCATTCAGGACAGGCTGCGCCCCACAGGATCTCTGTGATGTTTAAGGTAATACATGCAACGCATGTGTGAGAACAGCTAACACAGTAAGCCCTCAAAACGTTAGCTGTAATACTTATTCTTTTTTCTTTTTTTTTTCTTTTTTTTTTTTTTTTTTGCAGTACTGGGGATCGAACTCAGGACTTTGTGCTTGCCAGGCAGGCACTTGTGCCACTGAGCTATATCCCCAGCCCTAATATTTATTCTTTAAACAGCACAGTTTGCCTCGAGTGGTGGTGTACGCCTGTAATCCCAGCACTCGGGAGGCTGAGGCAGGAGGAATGCTGCAGCTTCAAGGACAGCCTGGGTTCCATAGTGAGTTCAAGGCCAGCCTGTACTACATGGTGAGACCCTGCCCCTCCCCCCAAAATTTTTTTTAAATAAACAGTACAGTTTATCACCTAATTTAAGAGCACCCTGGACTACATTGGGCCGGTCTGAGTCAACCTTTTGCTGTACTTCTCCTCACTTATTGTGAAATAACTTGAGTAATACAGTTGATACAATAATATACAGAAACCAGAACTGTAGGGGAATAACAGCCAAGCAGTAGTTAAATAACTCAGAGAATGACCGGGAAACAGAAACAGAAATGCAGGCCATTATGTCCTATGTGAGGATCTAAAGATAAAATCCAAATTTAGTAGTAAGTTCCCTGGCTACCAAAGCAAAAAGAGAAATATCTGTTATATAGTGATAATGATGGCAGTTAACATTTGGGGATCTTTGGGTGCAAAATGCCACTTTCTCAAGGCTTTAAAATGCTTTTCTGCGGGACATGGTGGTACACACCTGTAACACCAGCACTTGGGATGCTGAGATAGGAGGATCACCATGAGGCCAGCCTGGCTACATAGCAAGACCCTGTCTCACACACAAAAAAGTTTCATTGTATTTAATCTTTGCAATAATCCAATCAGACAGGTGCTGTTATCTGCCCTGTTGTATAGACGTGAGAAGAGTCACATAGCTAATAAGAGGTGAAGCTGGGATCCAAATGTGAACAGGCTGGCTCAGAATCCATCCTTTTACCTACCACCGCCCTGCCTCCCCATGAGGAAGTCAAACAGTCATACCCATACCTCAACAGAGAGCCAGCTACTCCTGCTGGTTGTGAGACCAGGAAATTATCATCATTTTATAAATAAAGAAACTGAAGCTTTCACAGTGACACCAGGGGCAGCCCAAGGCCCAGCCCCCAGCCCTGCATCCACGTTGACCTCGGTGTGATCGTAACTCACGCTCCAGGCCTCTATTTCCACATCTGTACAATGAAGCCAAGACTGCATCGAATGATCCTTTCCGTCCTGTGCCGGCTCTGTAACGTGAAGCTTTGTGCTCCTGAGCTTAAGAACCTGCAAAGTGTCCCTGGCTCAGGAACTTCAAGATCCCTTCGCGAACAAATGAGAAGATACAGCCGCTTAAGCAGCTCCAGATGAAGCATGACACTAAGATCATCTTTTTTTCTGGTTAATGTGCTCAGAATGAGCTGTACAAGGAAAATGCAAAGGGAAATGTCAGCCAGGGTGCTCCGGACTTGGGAGCATGTGGGTGACAGTTGTAGCAGATATAAATCTGTTTCCACCCAGGAGCTTCCCTTTCTCCCCAGGGCCCAGAGAAGAGGCGCTTTCAGTCACATTATCAGACCATTAGAGATTTCAGCTCCCACTAGGAGCAAGGTCTAGCTCTAGATGGCGCCCTTCTCCCCACAAGCAAGGCACCAAATCCCATCCCACATGGACACTAAAGCCTGGCTCCTACAGCTCACTGCAAGGCAAGGGCCACTGGCCACAAGCCCACTCGCCACACTTGGGTTTCCTCTCCCATTCCTGGCTTACATGCCTTGTGGAGAGTTGGCACACGTACATAACACGTTAATTCTTTTTAATCTCCTTCATATCCCCTTCCTTCCTGCCATCTCTTGGTTCCTTCCCTTTTGCAAAAGATCTATCTCCTTATTTCTTACTATCTATCTTTTATTTTGCTCTTTATTTATATTTTAGGTTCCTCATATAAGATAAACCATGTGATGTTTAAGCTTGTATGTCTAATTTATTTCACTTAACATTATGGTCTCAATGGGCATCCATTTTCCTACAAATGACTCCTTTATCCTTCTTGATGGCACAGTAGTACTCCATTGTGTATAAAGATCCCATTTTATCTATCCACTCATCTGCTGATGGACATACAGCCTGCTTCCAACATTTAGCTATTATGAATTGTGCTGCTATAAACATGGATGTTCATGTTATCACTGTAATATGATGACTTTAACTCTTTCAGAAAAATACCTTGAAAGGGAATAGCTAGGTTGAACAGAATTTGTTTTTAGGGGCTGGGGATTTAGCTCAGCGGCAAAAAGCGCCTGCCTGGCAAGCACAAGGTCGTGAGTTCGGTTCCCGGTACCGGAGAAAAGCCAAAAAAAA